GAGGACGACCTTCCGCAGGATGTGCGGCGGCTTGTTGAGGAGCTCGGCCTTGAGAGTTGGTGCGGAGAGGTCTTGAGGCGGCTGAGTTTGTGGCAGCGCCAGTCTGTGGTGCGCGAGCTTGGGAACATGGGCGGTGTCCGGAACCCCTCGGGGGTGGTCATGAGCCGGATCAAGACCGTGATTACACCCGAGGAGCTCCTGGCAATTTTCGTGGACCTGAACGGACTGGACAGGGCGGTGGAAGCGAAGCTTTGGGAGCTCACCCCCGAACAGCGCACAGAGGTGCTTGCTCCTGGCATCTTCGTGCAGAACGTCCGAAACACCTCCACGGCCGTGCGAAGTCGCATTGCCAATGTCCTGGAGGGGCGAAATGCCATGGGACCAAGACATGATGGCAGCGATAGACATGACAGGCGCAAAGGACACAGGTCCTACTAGGTCAGCTCGGAGACGCCTCTGCATGTCGCACCACTCCGTTCTGCAGTTTGCACAGCTGCAGACCCCAATCTATGTGTTTGGCAGGCTTCAAACCGCAAGGAGCAACAGTGGATGAAAAACATGTCCGTTTGTCGAGAACAGATTTTGACAGTGTAACGCAAAAGCACAGTAATTGTCCTGCATCTTTGTTTGGGTTTGCTAGTTGGTCAGCTCACCTCAGGTCAGGTCGACCTGGTCTTGTACTGGTCGCATGCAACCGTGCGTGGTGGGGACAGCAACGAGGGCGACAGCATTGGCGAGGCCACGTGGGAGCCACATGGTGTTTCTCTGTAGCAGTCTTGTGGCTAGTGTGAACAGGATAAGGAATCTCGAGTAGTGACAATGACCCCTTCCGAATGTATCGTGCCTCCCTCCCTCCCTCCAAGCGACGCGAAAAACATACCAGGGTCTGCAGCAGCTGGAGGCAAGATCTCGCGTTGTGTTTCAGGGCACACTATTTCGGGATAGGGATAGGGTTGTTTTGGCTGCGGAAATCCCGCAACGAGCTTCTGAAATGCGCAGCCTGTCAATCTTGCCCGTCAATTTGCCTGCGGTTCATTAAGAACGAAAGATGCACCAACGACCCCAGAATTTTCAAACATGCTTAGTGTTTGCCTTGATCACAGGCATAAGACACTCTCACGTACGGCTCTGATCTGTGCGTGGCGCTTCTTCAGGTGCTGTGGAAGAGCCCACTTGGACGAACGGCTTCATCAGTTTCCCCTTACAGGACTGGCAGCCGGAAGACTTGCACCCTCAACCAATCTTGCTTGCAGCTCCAGATTTTGCGGGGTATGCGTGTGGCTGATTTGGATTCAGAAAAGTATGGAAGCAAGTCCCAGTCGAGAATAGCAGGGCTCGGCACTGCATCAGGTCTGTCAACTAGAAGGGCTTCGATGCAACTCCCGTACCTGTCGAACTCGGTCCAGTTCTTCCCTCATGCTGCAGTTACGTTGCCCCCAGTTCAGGTTCCGCTCAGTCCGGATCTAGGCAAATTAAAAAACGGCTTGGGCGGATGCCTTTGCCACATCTTGGCATTTGTAGAAAACCAGAGAAGCACACCACGACCGTACGACTTGGAAACAATCCTCCCATCAGCTTCCGCCACGCAAGTGAAGGCCGCAGCTCATCTCCTGGTCTCGTCTTCCTGAGCTGCGAGCTCAGCACTGGAACTCGGGAGGGCGCTAGAAGCTCTGAGCGCTTGAGCTCCGAATTGATGCCTTCGATGGTTACTGCACCCTGCTGCCACTGCTTGCGGCTTTTCGCTGATGATAATATCCATCCTGGCGACGAGCAGAGAGACTGATGCAAAGAGAGGCAGGAAGGATGAGCGCTAGAAGGCGGTGCTGATGATGGCAGCACTGGCGATAATGTTGATGATGCACCGTGAAACTGACGATGACGGTTGTAGAACCTCCGGCTCCGCCCTTCGTTCTTGGCAGGGGCCTGGCCGAAATGCCGGTGGCCGGCGAGTGGCTGGTGGAAGTCTGGCTGCACGGGGCGCGGATCGGGCCGGGCTCCTGGAGTCGACAGAACAGGCCGAGCACCCATGGCTCGAGGCCTCTGAGGCCTCAGGCCACTGTCCCCTACCTACCTTCGTCCCACCTGTGGAGTTCCTGCAGAGATCAGCTCTCGCTTTCTTTATCTAGGCAAGATCCAATTCCGATTGGATTCAATTTGGGGCAGTGATGGGTCCCAACATTGCTGGTCCTGTGGTTCAGGTCGCGCAGCTTCTTTGTGTGCACGGAGCGGTGCAAAGGCGGGGGCGTCAGTCGAGGTCAAACATGTCAAGAGTTCGCGAAGGGCCGAAGGTGCTCGGTGCCAATGCAGGTCTCGATCTCAGCACGGTTCGGCAATACTTCGCGATGACATGATTCCTGGCGGAAAAAGCTCGGCCCGTTCCAGGCTGACACAGAGCATCCGTGCCTTGTTTCCGGTGATTTCTCTTGCAGTAGACTGGTTGGGCGAGCTGGCTGTTATTATCTTTGCAGCCAGGCTCCTCTGGCTCATGGCATATTTTCTGCCGCAATCAAGCAGGTTTCCGTGTCTTGTGGTGGTGCTCACCAGGACCTTGCGTGCCCCTCTCCATCGGCTCGGGTAGCTCGAGACATGAGTAGCTGGAGACACGGACTCGAAGGGTCGCTTTGGAACAGGCTTGTCGGCCAAAGATGACGGCTGCTTCTCTCCTGCTCTTGCAAGTGTTGCCATAGTCAGGACGCATGCATGCATACCCGACACACGCATCCACACACACACTGGGCACTAGATGGCCTTTCCTGCGATGCTGGCCGACATTCCAGGCCGTCACCTCCTTGTCATTCCTGAACCTTGTTTTCTCAATGAGTCGGGGTTGGTAGTGCCAATCCTGCATTCTCCGTATCGTGCGGCTTTTTCGGGTTTCTTCCATCTTCTACATGCGTTGTCGTCATTACCACTTTCGAGCGCTTGATTTACCATTTTGCAATGCCAGTGCATTGCGCATGGACAATCAACTCGCGTCTCCGGCCAAATCCCTTCACATCTGCGAGCCTCGAACCATGAAAGGCATCCATGCTCGGACAGGCTTCCAATCCTTGGCCTGGTCGGAGTAAGAGCTATACATCCCCGGGCCGAAAGTTTCGAGCTACATGTGTATTTACATGTGTATTATCTAACATACAGGCTCTTGTGGAGTAGCGGAGTACCTCAAGATGTCGTTTGCCCTGCGCAGGCTAGCGCAGTGAAATACGTTTTAGTTCGCGAGGAGGCCCCAGGTTCTATGAGGGAGAGGGTGGAGGGCCTGGGTCCCGAAAAGCATGTCCAAGCCAGTGGGTCGAACTATCGGCCCGGCGCAGTAGTAGTCGCTTTAGCCAGCAACACGATGGGCTGCTGTGTCAGGCGCTGCAGAGACCGCTTTGGAGGAGCTACGGAAGAGGCAATGCGTTGTCACGAAAGCTAGCTCTGTTGAGCTTGCGGGAGTTGTCCTTTAGCAATTCACCTTGTATTAAGGCACTAGGGAAAAACAGAGTTTGCACCTTATCAGGTGGGACGTCCAAGAGTTAAGGTCGGGGGTGGGAGGGGAGGGGGTGCCGCCCCCCCCCCCTCACCTCGTTCATGAAGCATCTTCGAAGGATAAGGTGCAGCGCGCTCCCCCCTCCCTCCCCTCTCTCCTTGAAGGTTGCGGCGCGTGGCATAAGGGGGGGGGGGGCCTCCCCTACCCTCAAGTCTCTCCCCCTGCCGCCCCCCTCGCAAGGTCCCTCAGTTTGCTTCTGTTTGAAGTCTGTTGCTTGCGCTGCGGCTTGGCTCCAGTTCTCGACGCCTTTTGTTCAGTTGTAGTCTTCATGTCAAACGTCCCCCCCGTGCAAGTCATTCGCATCGCCTCACTAGTCACCCCGTGTTCCCAGCTACGCTTCCTTTCCCCGAGCTTTCGTCGCCCTCTTCTCAACTTACGATGCGGCAGAAGTGACACGGCCGACCACCAAACGGCTGCTTTTTTAGTTTCAAGTTTCAGCCACTTGAGGATCACCGGCATAGTGTGTTTTGTGCAAGGCGACTAGCAGTGAAATAACTTGAAATCTCTGGTCTCTGGTTATGCTTTCTTCTCTTCAAGTCCCGTTTCGGTCTTGCAGACTTTGAGGCCTCGTTTTGAGTCAGCAGCTCACAAATCGCCACAACCGTCCTACAAGTTCGTGGGTTGCTAGACACATCCTGCGAGACGTAGCATCGAAAGGAGCTTGCGGCGGATCCGCTGTTTCTCCTCATCTTGGCCCGGAAGCCCTGCGCCGTTAGTGTCTCACATCACAGACTCCAAAGCATCGTCTGTGATGTTGTGTTATGAGCTGACGTTGACTAGAGCAACACTGACGGGTTTGGTACTATTTGCAACTACGACTCACTGGCACGTTGAGCTGCAGATGTGTCACTAAGTGATATGGGCTAAAAGGCTAGGATGCATGACTGGTGCAAGGCCTGTTGCGCCTTGATACCTCTCGGGCACTGGCGCGAGGATGTGCTGAAGGACAGACAGGATTTGGCGGAGTGGCTTTTATGGCTTGGTTTCGATTCCGCACATGAGCCGAGCGTGCCAAAGCCAGAACCAGCTGTGAACCTGTTGGTCCGAGTAGCTGCTGGACAAGCAATGAATTCGCGAAGCGGGGCAACAAGGCTTCCTCAGCACCACTGCGCCTGTCCTGTCAGAAACGTACACATGATGGTTTCTGGCCAAGGGGATTAACATGGAAAAACGGGCAATGCCCTGGCCTTGGTTTTGTGGGCGAGCGGTTCATGACCCGTGACTTTCGATCTGCAACCCGGACAGACCTAGGCTCCAAACCCAACAGGCCAAAGCCTGAAGCTTTGTCAGGTTCCTTCCTATAAGACTCTACGTCTTGGGGGTGGAGGGAGCAAAGCTGTTGGTTTCGGGGTGGGAGACCGTCGGGAGCTTAAAGCGCAGACCCACCCTACTGTTCAGCTTCAGGAGGTGGTGGGGACGGCGATGCTGATCCTCACGCAGCTGCCGGTTGGAGGGCGGGGGGCCCTGGAGCAGTTCTTGCTAGAAGTGTTTCGAGTCCTACTCTGGCTATGTTATGATGTGCTCAAAGTCAAAGTCGTTTCGACCTGCTTCGGGTTCAAGGTCGCCTGTGAGATCCGACAGAGCTCGTCCTTCATGGGTGATTGCAAAAGGGGCAGTGAAGGACAGTCCAGCTCACAGATTTGCCATGTGCGCCTTGGCTTCGTCCAACACGACGCTGGCCAGCAGCCAAGCTGCTGGGGCGGTCGGGGGGCGGTCAGGGCTAATGCTGTTGGCTCAGAGGACCGGATTGCGGCGGTGTTCCTCTCAGGGCACTTGGAGCATCCGGCATAAGCCTTCGCAGGCATCCCCGCCATTTTGCACCGAAGACTGGGGTTGGTTGCATGTTGTTCCGAAGCACTCCGGATCAAGAGGGTAAGCCGGAGGAAGACTTAGCACGGATGTCATGAGGCATGGCTCCGAAACCGCAGCCTTTCGGAAAGCACGACGATGATGACGAGGAGACAGATTTGCTGAGGGGCAGGTGGCCGCGAAATCGCCCAAAACCAGGCAAGGACGTGGAGGATGATCTCTTGCCCTTCGGGATCAAGGCTGACTGTCGGACCATGGCCGCAGCCGTTGCTTGTGTCCTGCTGGTGGGCATCGTTCTTATCAAGGCATGGCGGTGCTTGGCTTTCGCTTTTCGTTACTTATCTGGCCTGTTTTTGGGATTTTTTGGACGTGCAGGTGACCATGTTCCCGGGCGCGACTGAGTACGAGCGCCCTGTGGACACTTCTCGCCCTCCGACCAGGACCACCGCAAGCCCCGCCATGATAGACAGTTTGCCACCTTCTCTGCGCGGTCAGCCGCCCATCGGCATGAGTGCGAATGCTTTGCACACGACTTCAAACCCTGCTGGAGCATTCCAGCAAATCGGTCAAGCCGCTGCTCCAGGCAGTGCCGGCGACGCCTTAGCTGGCCCCGGTGACGGTGACGGAGATGCGGATGATGGCAGTGGCAAAGGGAACAAGGATGGGGACGGTCCGAACGGCGCAGCAGCGCAGGCCGGGGACAGCGATGCGTCAGACGGCCCCGGTGACGAGCCTTCTACCCCGGGAGCCGAACAGGATGACGCGCCTTCCACAACAGCAGCCCTCCAGCAGGGAGCTGCTGAAGGCGGCGATGAATCCGACGGCCCCGGTCAACAGGGAGCTGTTCAAGATGGTGGCAGCGATGTATCAGACGGCGTCGTTGGTGAACCCTCTACCACCGCAGCTGGTCAGCAGGCGTTTGACGGCCCAGGTGACGAGCCTTCTACCACAGCAGCCGACCAGCAGGGAGCTGCCCAAGTTGGAGAGGGAGATGCAGGCGACGAGCCCTCAGCTGGGCAGCAGGCATCTGGAGACGGTGACCAAATCAACCCAGGTGGCGAGCCTTCTCCCACAACCCCTACCACGGAAGCTGGGCAGCAGGCATCTGCTCAGGTTGGTGACGGCGGTGCGCTAGACGGCCCTGGTGAAGAGCCTTCTACCTCGCCCGCTGGACAGCAGGGATCTGCTCATCAGGTTGGAGACGGCGGTGTGTTGGACAGCCCTGGTGAAGTGCCTTCTACCACAGCAGCCGGCCAGCAAAGATCTGGAGAAGGCGATGCTTCAGACAGCCCCGATGACGGGCAGCAGGGGTCTGCTCAGGTTGGAGACGGTGGTGCATTAGACGGCCCAGGTGACGAGCCTTCTACCACAGCAGCCGGCCAGCAAAGATCTGGAGACGGCGATGCTTCAGACGGCCCCGGTGACGAGTCTTCTACAACGGCAGCCGGGCAGCCGCCGGGATCTGCTTTGGTTGCAGACGGGGGTGTGCTAGACAGCCCTGGTGAAGCGCCTTCTACCACAGTTCCAGGTGAGGAGCCTTCTACAACGGCGGGTGGCCAGCCAGCAAAGATTGGAGACGGCGATGCTTCAGACGGCCCAGGTGACGAGCCTTCTAATCCTTCGACAACAGCAGCCGTCCAGCAGGTAGCTGCTGAAGGCGGCGATGAATCCGACGGCCCAGGTGCTGAGCCCGCTACCATTGCACCCGGTCAACAGGGAGCTGTTCAAGATGGTGGCAGCGATGTATCAGACGGCGTCGTTGGTGAACCCTCTACCACCGCAGCCGGTCAGCAGGCGTTTGACGGCCCAGGTGACGAGCCTTCTACCACAGCAGCCGACCAGCAGGGAGCTGCCCAAGTTGGAGAGGCAGATGCTACCCCTACCACGGAAGCAGGGCAGCAGGCATCTGCTCAGGTTGGTGGCGGCGGTGCGCTAGACGACGGCTCTGGTGAAGAGCCTTCAACCTCGCCCGCTGGACAGCAGGAAGCAGGTGATGAGCCTTCTACCACCGCAGTACTCCAGAAGATGGCTGGTGAGGAGGTTGGGGATGGTGGTGGGGTAGTGGACACAACGGTCTCGAACACAGAGTTGGCCGGCCAACAACGTGGTGACGAATTGTCCACAACAGCACCAGACCATAAGACTGATGGCCTGCAAGGAGCCGGTGGGATCGAACCAGCACAGCAGGGATCTGTCCAGGAGCCTTCGCAAGGGGATCTTTCTACAACAGCAGCAGATCAGCAGGCAGCAGGGACAACAACCTCCGCAGCGGTGCCGGCTCTTGATGCCGTCCAGAGGGCAGACCTTCCACTCACCGAAAATGCAAATGCCGTAGCTACAAGCAGCAAGGCGTCCATGCCAGAGTCTGATCAACTAGCGCGGGAAAGCACCTCGTTGGAAGTCCAAGAGCGTCCGCTGCCCTTGGAGCCATCTGGCGAGGCTGTGACGACAACTGGTCAGGGAACTGCAGCTGCTTTGCAGGGCGCCGGAGCAGATCCCGGTTGAGGCATGTGAATAGGCGACATCAAGGGGACTACGGGGTCGAGTGCCTCTTCAAATCCATCTTCCAAGGGTGTGATTCAGTCTGTGGCCCTGTTTCGATTCCATGGCTCGGAGCTTACCCTAGAAAATACGGTCGCAATGCCCTGCAGATTGAAGATTCGCAACCCAATCCTCGAACACCCGTAAGCCCTTCAAGCGCAATAGGCTTTGAAGCTTGAAGTGCTCACCCTTGCAGGTGCAGCTCTTCGAAGTCCTCCGCCAACGTCGGAAGAGAACAATGACAGCCGGCATGAAGAGATCGACTTGCAGCCCATCAGATCAAGTCTAGATGTCCCAGTCCCAGTCCGAGCCGCTTTGGCCTTCTCAACGACAGTAGGCAGCAAGGTTTGGCCACAAAATGTGGCCTTCTCATGACTTGGGGTAGCCTCCTGAAAACAGCGTGCAAAGGTGGCTTTGGGACAAAGGGCAGGCACACATGGCCCTGAAACCCACCCCGGCACGTTGGACGACAACATACATACACATACACACACACAAATATACGTACGTACATGCTTACATACATACAGTTGCATACCATTATGTACATCCCTCATGCATCTTGTATGTATGCATGTATGTATGTATGTGCACATATCTGCATGTACAACACAGGCTACGTGAAAGGTGCAGCCGCCTACCTTAAATCGCTGGGATAGCCAACTTCCCCAGCTCTCGAAAACGAGGCTGTCAGTGTCGAGCGCTGGAATCCGAGGTCCTCGTGCGATGACCAGGCGGCCTGCTGCGGTGAGAAGCTGAAGCGAAACCGGTTAAGTCCGCCCAACTGTAAGGAGTTCCATCGGTCCATGGGCGAGCATGCAAAAAGCACTGTCCTGCCTTGTGTGCCTTGGCCGGAGACAACACCAGAATCCCAGATCGAGCTATTGAGCCTCTGACGATGTTGAAGGGTTAAGGGACCACTCCCAGTCGGGGCTGGCGCAGAAAAGCCCAACTCTGGATCACTACCGTGAAGCCTCCTCCAACCATTCCAAGTGCTGACAATCGCAGACAGTACTCGTAGTTCTCGTACCTGGTGATCTGATTCGCCCAGGTGGCTTGGATCTGAACCCATCATTGCCTCAATCTCAGCTTTGGGCTCCAAGAGGGCTTTGGCACTTCGGGGTTTTCAGCGCCGCCTCGGAAGCACTGCGCATAGGCTGATAAGGGATCATGTCTGCGCGTAGTCGCTTAGATTTGAGTGATTCATAGTTTCCTCCTTCAACAAAGTCGCGGTTCTTCTTTGTCCTCGCCGTCATCGTCACCGACCTGTGTGCGCAAGGTCCGGCAGGGAGAGCACCAGAAGCAGGTTGAAGCATGGTACTAGGAGGCAGCACAGAGGTGGAGGAACGTTCGGGGTTGTGGCCAACCACCTTGCGATCAAGGCTATGATTAAATCCTCACAGTCACCTTGAAGAGGTCTTGTCTTCGACATGCTTGTTTTTCATTACCTGAGCCGTTGCATACCATTGCTATAGAAGCAGATGTTCACCAAGCGCAGGAGCTGATATGAGCCCCAGCGGCACGCTGACGAAGCTGATCGAAGGACTGAGCACAGCAGACACCTGCCGACGCAGGAATTCACTTCTCGTGGAAAGCTCATGGCTTTGGAAGGCCTGCCCTATGCCCGCTCATTGAGCCGGATAGCCTCGCAGTTGCTGGCCGCTGTGGCCCGGCGGGAGGGCGGGCGTATGCTGGGCTTCTCTTGCGAGTCCGAGCTGCCGGGAAGTCGTGCGGAGGTAGCCCACCTCTTGCTGGAGAGGCCCAGACTTGCAGCCATCCTTAGTACTGAGATCTGCTTGGATTACCCGGAAAGAGCTCTTCGGTCTGATGCCGGTCCCATGATCCTCGCGCAGACTTCCGGAATGCCTCTCGTAGCCTAAGAGAAACCGACGAAGCGATTCCTGTAAAGCCAGGCTCAGCGTTGCCTTGGACCTCCCCTTGCTGCGTGGCTCCCAGCTTGCTTTGGGGGCGCGGGTCTTCTTAGGTCGCAAAGGAAGTCAGAGGTCAAACTGATCAGCCCTTGAGGTAATTATCTCGACCATGTCTCAACCGCGTTCAAAATGGACCCCTAGGCTGATTAGCCCCTGGGCGTCGCCCTTCTTTCTTGCAAGCAGGGTTGTTCATCATAGTGTTTCATTTTGCGTAGCTTGCCTGCCCACCCGACTTTTAACCTGGAAGGCTGCTTGTGCGCAGGGGAGTAATCGGAGTATACTACATACCAAACGCCCGATGCCCTCCAGTGCCATGTGCCTGCAGGTCAGGGCCAACTCCAAAGGAGGGTGTTGGCTTGCCGGAGATGTGCATTGATGAGGCTTTCTGCCGCATAGGAGAGCCGATTGTAGGAGATAGGCTGGAGTTGAATACCTGCTTGTTTTTTGGTCGATATTGGTCGATATTTCGAAGCTGGAAGGGGCAGCCCTAGTGCAAGTCATGGGTACGCACAAGGCTGCGGCGACGTTTTTGCTCCTGGCCACCATCTTTGCCGCGACATCGTTCCTCAGTGAGCGTGCCATTCCGGCAAGAGTTTCGGCTGGAGAAGACCTGATCTTCACAAGAGGTGCTTTCGATTTTGATTGAGGCTTGTGACCGGGGAATGCATGTCCGCAGCTGAGACATGAGATCGAACCCTGCGCCAGTTGTGGCTGCTGCAAGAGCTCATCATCGCAGCAGCAGCCCCAGTGCACTCAGCAGAAGCCACATCCACAAGCAAAACGAAACAGGGACCAGTGACGTCGACGAAAGTACGTTCTAGCCAGTTCTTCTGCATGCCAACTCTTCAGCCCAAGCCCTAGCCACAGCGCCGCGCGGACTCTTAGACTTGCACGAACTCAATAATCTAAAGCCACGGAGTCTGAACAGAAGTCGTCGCGTCCCAAGACATCCCCAGGTCCGAAGCTCCTAGAGTCCTAGAGAACCTGGAAGCTGCTCGGAGTAAGAGAAGCTCCACAAAGGAACCAGGAAGCTATCCCAGGGGACCTGCTGCCGTCTCGCAGATGCCGATGCAGAGTTAATAGAATCACCAATCAGGAAGCAAACAAGTCTTCTTCCAAGCAAAAACAGGTTTACTTGAAGCAGGTCATTGAAGAAATTATTGTGGTTTCGGTCGCGAAGACCTTCACACTTCTCAGGCGTGCTCCTCCACACTTACACTCTCTATCCTCCTTGCACTGCTGCGCCAGTGCAGGCAACTTTAAGCAGTTGAAGTTCAAATTTCTCCAAATGCACCCTTAGTGCTGAAACGGGTAGGTCTGCAAGCCCTAATCAAGCGAACCCGAAAGCAAACAGATGCTGAGCGCTCAGGGGGCTATCCGCTACAATCTGGAGAACCTGAATCGGGTGCCGGATGGGGTGGTGATGGGCAGCATGGGCTCAGGGTCAGGGTCGTACTGCAGGCATTTGTTTTATGGACAGTGAGGCCCTTGGCCATGACTGGCTCCTACACATGCAGGACATGCAAGCAGCAAGCAGAGCTACCACCCTCGTTCGCTCCGAGAAACCGCCCAAGGCCCCTCAACTCACCAAGCCCAATGACAACATTGCGCAACTGCTTCGCTTTATTCCCATACACGTTGCTGAATTTGCTCACACGTCTGTGCTAGTGCCCTGACCTGCCGAGTGCGGGCGTCGGAGAGGGTTGGAAAAAAGAACGTACACAGCATCACATATCTACCGCACACTGCAAGAAGTCCGGAACGTTTTTGCCAGGCTGGCGCAGTGTTCGCCTCAGGTTGCAGCCTGGGGGCGTGTTTGGCTTGATGCAGCATGGGCCTGTGTTCAGAGAAGCCGAACAGCCTTTGCAACGGGACCCCGACGCTGAAGCCTGACATTCCAACTGGTCCCTGTGCCTGAACATCCTAGAAGATTCCCGTGAATGTCTTTTTGCCGAATTCCCGAGAGTCCGCGCATTTGTCGAAGGCCATGAACCCGATGATGGGCTCCGGCTGGGCCATCTACGCAGCATCGCGGCGCCAGGTCAGACTCCACGGTCACCACGGTCACGACCCGTCGCCAGATGTCATGTCAGAAGCGACATTGCTGGCAGTGGTGGCAGTGGTGGCTTGCAGTGACAAGATAACAACACTCAATCAGCATTTTCATGCTCACCCTCCGCATGCCATGTGTCATCCATGCTTCTCCCCTGGTTGTCCAGGCGCTGCCGCGGACGGGCCTTGCTGTAGCTCCTCACATTCTGTGTTACTGGTTCTCTTCCATGCTCGGGTGCTGGGCTCAGGGCAGCGGCAGTGCATCAGCTACATCGGTCTCATGGCAGCGTAGGGTAGGACACCCATCATAGCCAGCACTGCTTCAGCCGTTCAAGCCTTTCCATCATCAGACCTGCAAAATCCGAATGCGAACACCGGGCAGCACAAGCGCCAGTCCATGTGGATTCTTTGCTGCAGGGCTATCGGGGCATGGCTGAGCATCAGGCTGCCAGCTGGGGGCCCGGTCGGCACCGGCACGTCAATTCTCGGGGGGATTTCTAGTGTCTAGTGACGTCTAGTGGTGTGGGATGGAGTTGGGGCTCCTGGGCCCGTGCACTCGGACTCGGGTTGGAGCCGCCAGGCTTGGACTTTGAAAGTTTCTTGGCAGCGTGGGAGTCTCGAGGTCCTGCTTTTCAATCGGTGGCGCGCAGCTGCTGAGTCAAAGGTGCAGCTCTCAAAGCGTGTTTTGGGCTTGGTGTGTAGTGCAGGCCCGTGAAGCCTTGGAGGCACAGTGCTTAGCTTGACAGGTCTGCAGACACCTCGTTCTGACCAAACTAAAAAATAAAGCCCAGCACCGCCTCGCCTGAAAGAATGTGGGCTCGCGCCCCCTTTGTGACGATGACAGGCGAAGAGCGACTGAGCCATGCTGAGCGAGCAGTCATGAAATGGCTTGTGTGTGTGTGTGTGTGTGTGTGTGTGCAAGTGTGGCCAGCAGAACATTGTTTCCCGCTAGTTTGCCTTTGTGTGCAGATGTGCGGTGTGGGGCCTTGTCCCTGCTGCTGCTGCTGCTGCTGCTGCTGCTTCACTTTTGAGACCGTGTCGTTGTGCAGAGTGTTGCAATGGGAACCCGATGCCAGCAGAACCGCATTCAACTTTGGATTCCTCAATACCTGCAGCGTGGCGGCCCAGACCTGCACGCAGCCCTTTAGTGGGCATATTTGGGCACAGCTCATCTGGTGCCTTGTCTTTGGGATCCTTTTTGGGAAGGGCCGTGGCATTCTAGGGCAAGTGTGGTGTGCAGGTTGAGAGCCGGTACGTACGAATTCCGAAGCTTGGGAAATTCAGCCTCATCTCTTGATTGTCCTTGAGACGTAGCAAGGCTTTGGGCTGTCTGGCCTTGATGGCAGACTCGCGCATGCTAGGAAGGTTGCAAGATGTAGCTGGGTTTTGCAGAGGGAACAAAACAGGCCAGATGTTCACCTGGGTGTGCATCTGTCGAGGCCTCGCCCACAAGGGCGTGTGGGTGCATCATGGGCAACTGTGAGACCAAGGAGGCCGGGATTGGAAGTGCTGGTGTCGGGTCACTTCGCGATGGTCAGGCCATCGAGGCCGGAGTGGCCGAGAAGGAAACGCAGCTGAAGGAGGACCGATGGGGTATTCATCTTGGAAGACCCAAGCCTGGCCCGAAGCCAGACTTCAGGCCCTCCTTTGGCCCTTTTTCTCGCGACTTCTGAAGCTTTTCGCGAGGCTTACGAGAAGCGCATGGAGGCACTGCCACTGGGCTCAATCTGGCTCTGAAGGGGTGCTCCGACCTGAATGAGCTTCCTCTCTCCTCTGGCAAAGCTTGAACCACTCAGGCAGAGGCTAGACCTGCAGACTCGCGTGCCGCACGTTCTCATCGAGATTCGATCTCTCGGCTTTGTGGAGTGGTTGCCTCAGCTTGGTCCTCCCACGCTCCAGAACAGCAGAACCTCCTGTGATGGTTGCACTGCGCGCCGTGCATGCCATACTCGGGCCCACAAATCCTTTCGAATGGGCAAGGATGCAGGGCAAGAACACGGGTGGCATCTACGAGCGGCTCAACGACTGGCTGGCGAAGAACTGGAGTGCTTCGGAAACGGACGGAAAAGGGTCTTTAACTTCAAACTTCCAAGAGCTCGAGATCGAGTGCAAATTCTCTGCATCTCCTTGCCCTGCAGGAGCTCGGCTTGCTCCTCAAAGCCAGCGACAATCAGCCTGCTGACCGAACTCAGTTTGAGATGGTGTCAGCTTGATGCCTTGTGCACATAATGCCGGCATGTCGCCAAGCATCTCGGAGTCTCGGAGTGCATCGCAGTGTACGGGAATGCCGTGCACAGGCCTGCTTTCCCACCGTAATAGATAGCCCGTGAAGACCGGCCTGGAGCTCCGTCGAAGTAGTGCTGTCATTAAGAAGAAGGTGCACCGGCAACAGGATGAGCTTGTGAACTCAATCAGCCGCCCGAGCTCCGACCAGGTTTCTAGACCGCGAGCCTAAAGCTTCTTTGCATCCGCCTCAGGGCCTGCGGCTGCTGCGGTCACTACTATGCGTACGGCGTTGGGCAAGTGCAGGCGAGATTCCTCCCCACGCCCTCCCCCTTTTTCTTCGTCTAGTTGCGGTTTTAGGGCTCAGCTCTTGGCTCCAAGACCTCGGGTTCAGCATTTCCGCACACGCACCTGGCAGGAGCACCACCGCCTGTGCGACCGCTCCTGGACCTTGGGGAAAATGGGGTGACTCAGATAGCAGCTGGTCCTCTTCGGAGTGAGAGTGCCTCAGGGGCTCCGAGAGAAGCATCTCAGCATGTGCCGGGGGTTTAAACGCCCAAGCATCCAAGGGAGGATGGCAAGGTAACCGGCAACCCGACCTACAAGGCCTGGGGATGACGGAAAGCGACTTTGCGGGCGAGCGCATCGTGGCAGAAGCTGACTGTTGGGAGGGGGGGGGGGCGCCAAATTTGCATGCACAAGGGGCGCATCATCAGCATCGTTGGGCGCTAGCAACCACTGCGGCGTCGAGGGTTTGCGGAACATGCTCCGTCGTGCATGCTCCACCGACAACAGCTGCTCCGGCAATTGCTGCACGACAATTGGCGTGCTGTTGAATGCTTTGGAAAATAGCTGGCGAGGCCCGTGGCACAGAGGGGGAGAACAACATGGGGAAGCTGACGATGCAACTGGCACCCTGGAGTTGTGAGAAGTATGCTTCGTACGACTACCATGATGTGGGACGAGAAGTCGGATTCGAAGATACTTGCCATTTCATCTACAGTACAATCTGAGAACATCAGCCTCAGACCGTCAGCTAAGCGACCTGGAAGTGCTAGGCCGATAGGCAGCAGACGCGTCTATGGCTTCCTCGTGTCCAAAGCCAACCTGAAGTCTAAACCTATTCGATCATGCTGAGGCTAAGTTCATGACGAACGAGTGTGGTTGGACGCTGCAGGCGCAATTTCTTGGTAACAGCTACAGTATCCGTTGCAACTCGGGAAGATGCCCGCCAGGTCTGCGATTCTGGGAACCTGGGCTGGGAAGGTGAGGTCCGAGAGCAGCAGATGAAATTCAAGGCATCCGGTCCTTGAAGCCATGCTTTTGTTAGAGTTGATTTTCGAAGCCCAAGCTAGTGTACCTGCAGCTGTTGGTGCAAGGTGGTTCTCTCGCAATGAGATTGACGACATGCACGGTTCGACTAATCAGATTGAGAGCCGACGGGCTCCTGGTAGGACAGGTCTTCAAGAAGTTTGAAACTTGAGGAAGCCGATAGCTCATGCGTGGGTTGGCGGCTCTGAAGAGGATACATACAGTTGCAACATGCCGGGAGCGATTGCCTTCTACTTTCAGATTGTTGTAGTCGTGCAGAGTGCCATGTCCCTACATGCGCAATCGCACAGCAGTGAAACGGGGAGCAAGATCCAGAGTCCGGGAAAGCCAGTCGTGTGCACTTCTGAGTTTCGTTCAGACCCAGTTGTGCTGCAGGCCCCGCACCCACTGAACCTCATTGCCCCGCTGGTGATGATCGAGCTCCGTCAGGTTTGGAGACTCGGAGACGGAGTCGTCAGAGCATGGAACAAGGCTTTTTCCAGGATCCTTGCAAGATAGGCTATGACCGTTGGTCATGACTCATGACGGCGTCTCCGACTTGTGGCATCGCCCATCCCATGGCCGGTGTCAGGTCGGCTACGTCGAAGTCAATGGTACCAACTCCCAGGACCTTGCTGCGGCCAACATTTCTCGCGGTGAGTAGGCTTAGGCTTTGGCAGGCTTACAAAGCTCAGCCCCCACGGAGCGAACTCTTGAGAAGGGCTTCTGCATTCCAATTTAACGGCGGTTTCACAGGACGTCTTCGAGAAGCTGAGCGGATTCTTTACCTCCAAGTGGAAAGCAACAAAGCTGAAGGCTCACAAAACTGCATGATTCTGCATGCAGATGCTCTTGAAACATGGATTGTTCGATTATCATACTCGCCGCAAACATGCAGCCCGGCATTACCCCGCTTGCAGGATGTGCTTGTGATCAGTTAAGCTTGGGTCGACATCTTCCTGATGCAAAATCCCACCATAGGCTGTAACTGCCATGGTCAGTGTGACGAGTGAGAAATCAGAGCCTACTGCAGTCCGTCGTCAGGCGGATCCCAACTATTGCGATTTGAAGTTCGGTACGTCCGCGTTCAAGAGCCGGGGTTCCGAGGGGGAGCCCCTGGGCTGCCACGAGTCAATGAGGCGCCAACCGACTCGTTCGCTTGTTGGCCCTGTCGGCTACGACTCAGGAACAACATGGGCCAGCGGACGATGGAGCTGGTGGACTTCATGGTGAAGGAAAAGCAGTGGTTATGCCTGCACTCGGGGGGGGGTGGCTGTGACAGGATGCTGATGCTGTAGAGAAAGACAGACACAAGACAGAGAGAACGAGGGAGAGAAACACAGCACAATGGAGACATCTTTTGTTGGGCCTGGTGCAAGGGAAAGCCCACGACTCGATTTTTTAATGAAACTTGTACCAGTCTGTTGAGCACGAGGTTTCTTTCAACATCCTCGTGAACTGGCCATCATCTCTTCTTCGCAGATTTTTTTCGTAGCCGCGGTGGCCAAGCAACCGATCAGGGTCCGTTCTGCAGCGCATCAGTTATCTGGCGAGCTGAAGACTTTGGTTTCGCGATTGACGCCACGTTCCGACAGAGTTTGTTAGGCGATGGAACGCACTCGCACTCAAGACCGCATGTTGTACGTGTGAGGAGTGCCAGTGGACCATGGTCACCTGCAACGGTGGCAGCTCGACCAATCAGCTCAAATGCAGGGAGTTGCAGTTTTCGATGTTCGCATCGAGAAGGAAGCAGGTTCAAGGGTCAACAGAAAGGAGCAGAAGCAGATGCTTGCTTTCGCTCTGCGCTGCAAGCTGGCATGCCCCTATTCTATGTGCTCGGCAAGACGTAGAAAGCACCAGCCCGGCCCTCGCAGCACGATTGGGCCACCTTCGCTGAGCTGCACTGCTGCACACATGCCAAGAAATGTGCAGTCGAGCCGGAACCGAGGCAACTTCGGCCGCACGGGTGCCAAGCGAGAGCAGCAGCTGGTCTTCCGGAATGATGCCGCTCGTCACGAGAAGCTCGAGAAACCCCCCAAGAAGAAAGAACCCCGCAACTTCTGTACGTCTCAAAACGTCGAGAGATCGGTGACAGGATCGAGGAAGCCAAGAGCCGAGGAGTTCATTCAGCATGGAGCAGACCATCTGATGGTGGAGATACGGTCGGCCGGGATCCAAGCAACGGCCAGCATTCTCGGAACTCGGTCCTGGTGTCAGCTTGCGGGGTGAGGTGCAGGTCAAGTTCCGGCGCAAAAGTTTTAGCTACGACCACTGTCCGACCAAGCTTCTCAGACTGACCTTCCAACCTGACTCTCCGAGTGTACCTGTTACCCAGGTCGGCTACGTAGAGATCAACGGTCTCCATGACGCCGGCGACACGAAGGTTCGTGAAATTTCGGCATTAGGCTTTGCCCCAGTTTGACGGGATCGGGACTCTACTCGTGGTGTGCCTTGCAGAAGTGTAAGGCAGTCCTAAGCACTTCGCTTCGTCAAGAGTGGGCGAGATCGCGCGGTCTGAGACACAGCAGTTGCGGATCCCGTGGCGAGAACAAAAGGCCAGCCGACTTGGCTGTCGTTATCACAGCGTCAGGCTCGGCTGCGGAAACGAGACGGAGCCACAAGGGCAAATCCGAAAGTGCGAGAGAGGAGCACATGCTTGATTCGCCTTGATGGTGACGACGCATAACGTGGACTCCAACAGGGACCTGCAGCCGTGAAACAAGATCTGGGTGTTGTGTTGGTGGAGGAGGGAACGGGAGGGCAGCCACAGCCAAGTGCCTGTAATGGCCTACTCGGAGATGATGTAATTAGGAATCTAGGCCCAAGCTCTGGAGGGAAATGCGTCCGTCTGTCCGTGTATCGGCGGTTGGTGATATGTAGCACCTGGGCTAAAAAGTTGGCGCTCAGGGCCGGAATTACACACCGCACAAGCTCTGTCCCGTTGCGGTGAGCCCGCGCCATCCTGAAAGCCCTGGCCCTGAACCCTGAAATGCACGCCAATGATCTGAGCTTTAGCAGCTATAGCAGGATCACCTGATCAATTTCATGGTCGAAAAGCCGCTTGACGTTTCAGTTTCTCCTTCAGGTGGGCAGGCATTCGTGAGAGCCCATCTGTAAAAAAGGGCGGCTTTACGCTCTCGCGGCTTCCAGGTCACGGGTCAGGCCTGTCTTTTCGCATTAAATTGTTCTTTCTGTGGGTTGTTAGCCTGCTTGTGGTGTTTTGTGTTGGAAGATGTTGGGAGCTTCAATTTCTTGGCAACGCTTCGTCGACCCGGATTTAGAGTCATTCGGGTGACCTGCAAATGATAAGCAACGATATGAAGAAAACACTGCCGTACACAGGCACGGAGTCGTGCTCGTGTGTCGTCCCTATATAAATAAATAAATAAATCAATAAATATAAATATATATATATATAAATATATATATATATATATATATATATATATATATATATACGTACACACACACACACATATATATAGATATATATTATATTATATTATATTATATTATATTATATTATATTTCTTCTACGGAGCTTGCTACTAGCCCAAGCACCTGCCGGTCCTTGTCATGCACCCAGGTGGAACTGCAAGGAATATACCAAATACATGTGGGAAGACAGCGAAAAGTACTGCGACTTGAAGTACACGTGCCGAAGCTGCAGTGCATCTCCTGTTCCAGGTGAAGTGTGGCACAGTGCATACACCACGGTGTCGGGGACAATAAGAGGCAGAAGGAATTGGTTTGGGCCCCCAGGAAAACACTAAACCCCAAACCGTGCACGACCCTGGGACTGCTGCTTGACTGAGTAGGGTTGTCCATGCGGAAGTACATGCAGTTAGAAGACGAAGGGCTTCTGCCACGGTTTGCCAGTCCAGAGAGTAGTTGCGAGCAGCATGCAGGACTCCCAGAATCCAGTCTCGCTGGATGTGTAACGTGCCAACCCGCATGTCGTCCGTAAACCCCTCGAGTCCCAGAGCATATTTAATCTCTGCAATTTTCGATTCTTGCTGAAACTTCGCCCTGGGCTCTTCTTGTTCCTGCATGCCGCATGCCGCCTGTAGCTTCAACACTGCACAGTAAGCTTTTGGCTGCGAGTGAAGAAACAAAACAACAAGCCGGAGCCTGAGGCCCTTAGGGCCTGTCGCGTGTCACGTGGCGCTACGTTCGTCTGCTTGCCTTTTGCTCAGAGCTGTCCGTGAAATCGAGGTGCCCCGAGAATTTCTTCTACACGTCTTGGGTGAAAACAGACAGCTGGGACATACCATCGCTGGCCAACAACTTGGGAAAGAGGAGCCCAGGGATCAACGAGAGGGTTCGGTTCGGACGAAGAGATTTCTGACGTGACCTGAGATGTTTGAATTTTTCGTCACATTAGGCTTGCAACATGAAGATGATCTTATTTTAGTCTTGTCTCCTCGTCCAGCTGGAGAAATTCTGCGCCTGCATTCAGGGTGTCAGCGGCTTGTAGATTCAGAAGTGGAGCGTGAAAATACGGTAGCCGCCAGCATCGCACACTCACTCTTACATCCGTTTGACTTCGCGGTTGTGACGCGAGATGAGGACTCTCGAGCTCGCCGGCTTCCTTGCGCAACATGGCTGGGCCTCTCGCCTGGTGGAACGTCGCTCTAGCACGCAAGCATGTCTTTTCCAGCAGTTTTGCTGCCGTGATAGCTTCTTGTGAGGAGTTGAATAGCTGGGAAGTCAGCTGGTAATGTGTGTCGAATGCGTTTCTGTCCCTCGCTAGCATCCCATTCTCATAGCATCGGAGCCAGGCTCTCTCGCTTTGCAACGGCGGAAGCGTTGTGCCGAGCCCCTATACGTACCCCAACACCATCCTGCGAGAGCAGCAGGCCAATGTTGAACCGGGCTTTTGGGGACTTCTGGCCTGTGGTTTGTCCCTAGCAGTGCAGGGGTATCAGCCGGTTTTGCAGAGTGCGATTTCTCACGGACCTTGACTGAGTTCGTTAAGGTCACTTCATCTGTCAGTCTCAGCACCAGATTATCAGGGTTGTCGATACCTGCGAGTCAGGCTTTGCAACTCCAGTCTTTTGGTGCACAACTTTTCAAGGCGGCGCCTCAACAACCGGGTTCGCCATCAGTGGGCCTCATTGCTGTCGATGTCTGCAGAACCCCTCCTATTCCGATTCGTTCCGTCAGGTGAAATTCACGAAATCACCAGAGAAGGCAGCTGCCCCGCTCCTTCTTGTGGAGTTCCGGACGCAGCCGTACACTGACGATCCGCCCAAGTGGCACAGTTACATCGAAGCTGAGCTGCACATAGAGGCTTTCGGCTAACTTACAGGCTAGGGTTGCAGTGAAATTTGTAGTTGTTGTCAAAGAGGACAAGCATGACGTCAACGCGTAGCAGGTGCTCGTGTCACAGATGCCCAAGTTGCTGGGTACAAAGCTGTTTGCAGGTTGATCTATCTCAAAGACCAAGTATTGGGTGGGTGCTTGTTGTCACTCGTTCTGTCCAGGAGGTAGTTGGAGCCGACACCGGTGGGGTCTTTGCCAAGCTTCACGATTTCATCACCGAGTCCATGGCCGGGTGGGAGGTGACTCCCACACCGCCACACTGTGACAAGCTGTACCAGTTCAATGGCTTCGAACTTCATGCATCGGAGGTGTCCGAGCAGGCGCGATGGGAGGGATGCATGAAAGGCGAGAGCAACATTGGCCAGTGGACTATGCGATTGTGTGACTACATGGTCGACCAAGTGTGCGAGTGGGATCTGATCGTTTGCAACAGTGACAATTTGAGCTCTTCGTTTCAACATGGAAGTGGTGACTCGAAATACTACAACAACATCGTAGCGCGGGAAATGCAGATGGTGTTCCGGCATAGAGCTGGTGGTCGCCGAGTGTTTATGGCCACCACTGAAGTGAAGGAGTTGGGGAGGCCACCTTTGGAGCCCCCTTCATACTGGACCGAGAAGGGATGCATCGATGGGAGCATCGGCCAGAAGTTGGTGCCAGGCTCCTCCGAGGAGCTGGCCTGGATGCAAGAGATCCTGGACAAGACCTTCAAAGACAAGGTTACCCGCGACCGAAAGGATGACCAGCTCGCTGACCGCTACAAGGCCGTGCAATGCATCCGCAGCGAGCACCCGGGCCTTTGGGATCGATTTGCACAGCGACGTCGGCTCGTGGCGGAGACCTGCCAAAGCTCGCCCAAGGCGTCGGATTTCTTCGTGACGCCGAAGACCCTGAACGCCTGTCAGGGCTTGGACCAGCGCTGCAGCGACCGCTCCCTTGGGAACCCATCCAACCAAGCCTACCTCTTGCACGGCACGAACCCCACCTCGGCGGTGGCAATCTTGAGCTCGTCATTCACGGTCAACCTGGCAGGGAAGAGTGCAGGCGTTGGCTTTCGTTGCTGCTCCTTGGTGCTGATTTTTGCCACCCCACAACCCCACATTTGCTGCCCCTTCAGGCACGATGTTTGGTGCCGGGGTCTACCTGGCGGAAAGTTCGACGAAGGCCGATGAATACGCCAGTGACGACATGGGTGGCGAGTACGACGGCCTCTATGCCGTTTTGGTGTGCAGGGCCGTACTCGGACGGTCCTATGTGGTGGAAAACGCAGGAGACTTCAGCGAGAAGGTCCTGAACGGCGATTTCGAGCATGTGCTGGGCGACCGTGAGAAGGCGGTTGGTACCTTCCGGGAGTTCGTTTTCTTTCACGAGGCCTCCATCTATCCGGAGTATGCGGTCTTCTACCGCCGTGAGAAGGGTGGCAAGATCCTGCCGCCTTCAGTCCGCTCGAGAGCGCCGGAAATGGAGACAATGGAGGCGGGAAGATGCGGGAAGCTATCTTGTGCAAGCTGCACTGTAGACCGGCAGCCTTCTTAACGGTCAACACTTTTCTTCGAGTAGAGCACAGACTGACGATTGGGGTTGATTGGGGTTGTTGTTGCACATCCTCTACTCAAGCAGCCTTTGCCCAGGAGGGGGACGACTTAGCGGCGGTTACTGTCTGAGAACATGCACAACGCCTATACAAGGAGCAGGCGATGACTCCGAAGTAGCTAGTAGCTAGTGAACACGTCGAAGGGTTGTGCTCGCCCAGTGGCGTGCCTCTGCATTTGCCACATGGCACATGCAGAACTGACTTTCAGGCGAGTCCTACGCTGGCACAACCTTTTCCTTTTCAACGAGAGCTCGTGCCGCTCTCCGTTTTGTTCCGTATTGCAATAGGAACGAGCTGGGTGCTGTCGGAGAAGGACAGAGGTTGGAGGGTTGTGTATGAACCTGAGATGTTGGTCCGCCCCACCTACAACCCAGCTCGTGCGTTTGCAGGATGCTTTATGTGCCCGTTGGGAAAGCCTTGGCTGAGCCAGGGTGAGCTGGCGGGTCCCGTCCTCTTGGCGACGGTGCTCGATCTCGGCTTCTCCGTGGCTTTACGGCGCTTGCAAAGGCAACGTGGTTGTGCTGCGGGAAGGTCGGTCCAAAGAACTACACGTCGGAAAAGATGCAGGAACGGTACTGACAAGTGGGGGCCGCGGTGAGAGTGGACAGATTGTGAGCGGTCCTTCGTGAGCGTTCCTCAGCTGAGACGTTCACCATGCGTCTGGGCTTCTCGGCTCAGCTTCCCATGCTTGCAGCTGGCCATGATGCTCTGTGTCCCGGCCGTTCCAAGCAAGGCCAGCCAACTGTGAAGCGCTGCAGGGAAGTCGAGATGTTATGTTTCTTCCGAAGTTTCAGAGGGAGCGGATGCTGGAAGCAGTGCTTATGTTCGTTTTAATCTTGACGCCTTCCATTATGTGCTACTTGTACCGATGGGTAGGACAAGGAGCGCTTCTTACTCCAGCGACTCTAGCTCTGTTGGCTTTGGGGCTGCTTTGGGGTCTTGGCAAAGCTTCTTGGATGGCGGGGCTGGTTGATCAAATGCAAGCAAGACTCATGGAGCAGCTGTCTGACGGATTTAATGTGCACGTATCCAGTTGGCATGAAATGTGGGGTCCGACTTGTGACAGTCCATGCTCAATAATCCCACAACGCCTGAAAGCAGAGACCCCCCCTCAAGCCAACGTGGCACAACAGCGCATGTTGCTCACAGGGCATCTTCTAACCCCAGGAGCACAAGAGAACCATCTCCCCAAAGCTCTGAAGCGATGGGCCTTCTCGGTCTGCTGTCGACGGCAGCAGCTTGGGTCTTCCTGGCTCTGACGCTCTTTGTGCTGCAGCTCGGTGCAGCATCAGTCTGGGGTCACAAGCGGAGCTTGCTCCGGGTTTTCCTCTCGCTCTGGCTTTGGCCTTGCGCCTTCGACCTTTGCAGCAGCTTTTGTGCTCTCTGGCGGGATTCTGCGGAAATTGCTTGCCAGTGCCTTCGTGTGAAGCCACCATCCAAAACGTGCGAATAAACCAAGCCCAGAGCCTCTTCCGAACACAACAGCGAGCAGGAGCCTTCAGCCATTGAACGGATGTCGCCAATCTGCAAGGCCAGTGCTCATTGTCCTCGTCCTCGGCCTGCTTCTCCCACGAAGAGTGCCGCCCCAGCGCCAGCGGCCTCGGGCGGCATAGGTTCCAGAGTGACCCAAGTCCGTGGACAGTTTGGTAGGTGAGAGCCATCAGGAGACTGGAGTCGCAGACTCCGAAGCCGTAGCTTTAGGCAGCACCTGTTTGAATATCTGAGAGCCTTGAAATCCAATCCGAAGACCCACTTGTCAGTCCCATGATTCGAGTGATGCTGCGCATGTCTGGGGCCCAGGTTCGGAAGGCAAGCGCAGCAAAGTTGCGCACGGGAGCCCAGGACGTTTTGCCTGCGCAGATCCTGTCATGGCCAGGGCAGGTGATGGACACTGTGAAGCCAACGAAGAACCGCATGAGTGTTCCCACACTGCAGGTTTGTACACCCAGACCTCGGGATTGGCGGGGCCGAGTCGGGTTCTCGGCCAGTGGGCCAGTGCCCTTTGGAGCTCGTACAGTCTCGCATTTCACGTTTTCCAACTGAAAAGGTTCATTGAGCTGGCCAGTGTTGATGTGCAGTAGGACATAGCTCTCCAAGGCTAAGGCACGCCCTGACACCAACTGCATGGCAGGAAGCATCTGGAAGAGTTGTGAATGGTACTTTTTTTAAACCGAGATTGGGATCAAGTCTGAAATGCTTAGCCGAGTCGTCGAGGCACTCCAGCGGCCCTGAAACAAGACCCAACGCCCCTTGCTAAACAAGACAGGCGCATATCCAATACCCGTGCTACCAGTAGCACAGCGAAGCTTAAAGCTCGACGACACGGATGTCTTTCTCCGAGGCGATTGGTGGTGGATGCAGCTGTAGCCTTGCAGAAGGCTGGCCACGAGGCGTGCGCTTGAGAGATCCGAGAGCCTGAGGACGGCTTTGTAGACGCTAAGACAAACGCAAGACATGATTTTGGTCTTCGGTTCGCTTGCTTGGATGTTTCAATAGTTGGCGAGTCAATCTCTTTGGCCGTTCCTTGTCGTGGCTTTCAGGGCCAGCGCTTCGGTTACAACTTCAGGGTTGGTATGCTTACATTTGCCCTCGGTCACGGGACAGGGGTGGAGGCTACTGGGGATCCTTTGCGGAGCCTTGCAGGAACCTCGTGGAGCACTAGGGAGACTAAAGGAGTATGGGGTTACACACCAGTAGCAGGAGGACGGTTGGGATGACCACGCCATCAATATTGTGTGCCCATCGGCCGTCTAGGTGAACATCTTCACGGCCAGGCCTGCGGAGCGAGCTTTTCAATGACGCGGGTTTCAAGCTGCTTGTATCTTCCTTGTAGAGGCTGTCAGGGGCTTGAGACGCGGATGTAGCGGGGCGGACTTATCATTAGGCGTCCGGATTGCCAAGACTCCTGTCACACTCCTCTTCTGGGCGGCGCACCAGGCATGAGACCAACCATTGCTTCGAGGAGACAAGGCACGCACCGAAGCCTACGGGGTGGCGTTTTCTTTCGGGAGGAGGCCCTTTCAAGGAAGGGCCCTCTGGCCTACCTGCTGAATCTGGCCCCCAAGCGGCACGGCTGGGGGGTTGCTTTTAGATTTAGAAGGACAGTTCCGATGGAGGCGGCCTAAACACCCTTCTGAAAAACATGTAAAGTAGAGGTAAAAAGCAGTAAAACAGGGTAAATAAAGGTGTCCTTTGTCCCACTTGTTTTTGCATTTTCGTTACTGTTTGTTTCGCTTGGTTTTAGCTTTATTTCGCTGCTTTAGCATTTGTTGCTTGTATTTTTACCTTACAGCATGACCCTTCTTTCCCTTTCGTGTATCCTCACTTTGCCTTTTTCAAAATGACAGCTGCCTTTTCTCTCCATGGATCAGACCTCCTAATTTTAGAGATCTGATACTCCCACTTTCAGAGCCGAAGGTTTGAGAGCAAGTACCGCAAGAGTTACAACGGCCAAGGGATCTCTGGGCGGTTGGATAGAGCAGAGCTGTGCTTCCGTCTGATTCAGACCCGCAGCTGCATGGCCAGGAACGGCACCCTTCGAGTCCATGTCTATGGAAACTTCCTCCCCAGGACCTGGGCCTAACCGACTCAGTAGCCAGGTGCCAAATTCGTGCCAGAAGTATGCTGACAAAGTCGTTGGAAGTTCGTAGTACGTGGCCATTCTGCATGGTGGCAATTGGTGCCTAGTCTTATCTGCAGACCTCGCTTGACATAGTCCGACTGTGAGCGTCAAAAAAGAATTGCTTGGTGATATGCTACCGCTTGACTGCACTCTGCTCTTGTGCTTAATGGCAGGAGAGTGCTTGGGCGGTTCTACGCAGCCTGCGCGTATCTTCGCATGTGCCGAGCTCGTCCGTAGATATAACAAATTCAACATCTCCCTCAACCTTCACACTGACTCCAAATCCCAGCACTTGTAGCAGTAGCATTCACAACCCAGGGAAGCTTTTGGCCTGCAGGTCTGCCCGGACGGAAGCAAAAATAGTAGGAACTGAGAAGCGTATCCATGTTGTTCGCTGAACTTCTCGGACACTCGGACTACTAGCATGAACCGGGGACATGTGGTGGTGTCAAACAGTCTTCCATTCAGAAAGATGTAATAGCAGAGTTTCTCGTGCAGGTGCTGGGTGTCGGGGGTCATCGTGCTGCTATCCTTTCGGATTCCCTTCCACGCTGCCTGGCTGACAGGGGCAAATGCAGGACGTAGAGGAAATATGGGTGTTCATTGCAAGCAGAACCGGCAAGACAAGGTTTCCCGATGCCCTGGGACGGTGTACTCGCCTCGAAGCCCTTGAACTCACCAAGGTGATCATTGTGGACCAGGCCTTCAGCGCAGTTTTAGCAGCAGCAGTAGCAGTAGTAGTTGTAGTTGTAGTTGTGGTAGTAGCAGCAGTCGCTGTGCCAGTGCCAGTTGAAGTGGCACCAGTGCTGGTAGTGCTGGTAGTGCTGGTGGTGGCGGTGATGCTGTTGTGGTGGTGGTGGTGGTGGTCGTGGCAGCGGCGGTGGCAGTGGTCGTGGTGGTGGTGGTGGTGGTGGTGGCAGTAGTAGTAGTAGTAGTAGTAGTAGTAGTAGTAGTAGTAGTAGTAGTAGTAGTAGTAGTAGTAGTAGTAGTTGTGCAGTATGCGCAGCCGCCTGCTGCACACTGTGTCTGATCATGATGTGTGCCTGGTAAGGGTGAATCGTCCTGCCAGGTTTCGATCTGCTTGCCGATTCTGCGACTTGCAAGACCGCGCGCCATCTTGTTCTACTGCCATTATCCGGCAGCTTGGCATAGTTTACAAGCTCCCAACTTTGGTAGGCGTTCTGATGGACAGCTGCAGTGTCAGAAGCCGCGGCTCTAACTTGGGGCGGGTCGAACTCGATGCAGCTAGTCGCAGCCATGAGTAATCTCACGGTCGGTAGAGTTCGCATCTCATTTCGCTGTTGCCACCGGTTCACTGTCTCGACGTGGTTCTACGTCTGCTGCCACGCCAACCGCTACTGCCACTGCCGCTGCTCGTGCTACTGCATAGTCACGCTTTTGATTAATGATGCAGATTATGGTGGTTCTTATCAGTATACACTCTGTATGAAGACTTTGGCCTCCAGCCGAGGATTACCTCCTCACCACAAAGAGCTCTGCTTCGGCCTCAGGGAGCGACCGGGGGTTTTCGCAGGGGGCTTTGTGGATTCGGTCGTGAGGTTGAGGCTTGATGTTTGGGATTTTCATTCTCAACTCTCAAGTCTTTTGAATTTTGGACGGTGCTTGCGCCCTTGGTCTTGGAGAGTTGTTCAACCTGTGTTTTCCAGCCCTCAAGTTCTGCTCTCCACGTAGATATCACGCCTCTGACATTAAGACCCGTAGGCCCGTTCCAAAGCGATGATGAACATAGCCACGAACCTCAAGGTTGCATTTCCTTTCCAGAGTGCCCCTAAGTTCAGTTCGATAACTGCCGCCCTTGAGGGACCTCCTTCCTGCTATGCGAACCCTTCGCACAGGTGCTCAAGTCCCTCTACCGCGCTCCACTGGACTTTCTGGAGGAGCCTTATGCTCCAGTTTGGGCCACAGGCTGTTCTTCCAGATGCTATCCTACCATCCTTGTGGAAGCGGCGCATGATATTGGAGGGTTTCGTCTGGCTGCCTTTGAAGCGATGCAAACTAGAGGAACGACACCTTTCAAATTAATGTGCCAAGCTTTGCATTTGAGCGCAGGAGGTTACCACAGGCCGCCTGCAAGGGAACTCCGAGGGTGTCGATGAAGACTGTGCCTGTAAGTTCACAAGCACTACATTACATATTCGCAGGGAGCATCTCGGGTAAACTGTGTTAAGGAGCACCCGTGCTATTTCGAGAATCAACTTTAGCAGGCTAGGTCGGGTGAGGGCACGCGCTGCGGCAGAGCGCAAGCCCCAAGCAGACACCCAACTAGAAGCCCGCATCATACACTGCCAAACAGCAGGTTACATGACCGGACTGGGGCCAACACAAGTGGAATCGTTGAGTGACCGTAGGAAAACTCTGCAAAAGGCTATCTCGCTCCACTCCCTTCAGTTTGTTCCACGTGACATTTGCAAGCCCACGGACCACGGAGAGGCTTGGCAGACCAGATCTTCGTGAACTCGCGTTTCACCGCTGGTGTCTTCGCTGCAGCCTTCCCGCTTCTGCTTGGTGCCAAGACCTTTACAGAGCAAGCTTTCCATGAGCATTTCCCTCCTGTGCCGCGCGCCTCCGGCTGCGTGGCTCAAGCCCAGGTCCTGGTTCGGCGTCTGCCCAGATGTGTCAGGGCCTTGGATCTCAAGCATAAGTGGGCCATCTCTGCACTTCTTCTCTGCAGCGAGTTGGGGCGCGAACCTCTTCCAGCATGCTCGAAGCGGATGTTAAAGCGACCTGTTGTCATCTGCACGTTGACAGCAAATTCCTCAAGGTCCAGCTGGGATTTTCGCGGATGCATGTTCCCGCCCCGTTCGGGAGGCTCTATCCTCCGCTCGATCTCCAGGGCCAGGACGAAGCTGCTAGGAAGGCCAGGAGAGTTCAGGGCGTTTGCCGGCCTGAGACGCTGTCGAGACGCGTGTTCTCAGGCCGCTGATGCCTTGGATGTGCTCGGGGAGGGAGAGCAGCTGTTATTGCTGGGCCCGTAGTTTGTGCGACCGCCATTCCCAGTTGTGGCTTTGCAAAAGCCGTCGGCTGGAGGTCCATCAATCGTTTCGAGAGGAAGAAGAATGTGGGCTTGGCCATCAGGCACTAAATTGCGTGAAATGGGGCTTCGAATGTGTTGTCGCTATAGCAAAGCCTCTGGCCTTTGCAGTTCGACAATCCTCCGTGCCGGGTTTCGGGATGCAGAAGACCCCGCCCTCGGTTTAGTGAAAAGGACCTTGGCGCGGCTTCCGGAAGAAACGCGGCGGATGACTCGCTCCTCGCAGTCAATCCTGAGCAGATTTTGCAAAGTATGCTGACTGGGGTTGTCGCATGGATCATCCGAACCAGCCCTCCGTAGAGCACCGGACGCAACCCGAGTGCTGAAGAATGATGTCACGAGGTCTCGTTCTTGCAGGAGGCTACGACGATCGGCTTCCGGAGAACGTGGAGCATGCAGCAGAGTTGGAGGACCGTCAAACGTGGTAGCTTCATGGATTGGAGAAGCCGTGGACGGGGTGGCTTGCTGGTAGCAGGACTTGGCCACTCAGCTGGGGGTGGCAGATCGAGTTGTTCAGAAGAGGCGAGGATAGGGGTGTCTTTCGATACACAGCACGAATTTGCGGATGCTGGTGGCAATAAAAACGACGATGACGAGCAGGGTAACGACTACGATGTTATGACGATGATGTTGATGATGTTCGTGGTGATACAGCTGTTTCCTTGTCCGCGAGCACGGTGCCGCGCCGCCATGCCGAGATGATCGCGGATACGTTGTGGTTCTGATGTCGCCGAAACGAAGACGATGAAAGCTGAGTGGGTTAGGGACGAACATTTCCGGCATGCTGGTCGCAGATAGCAATCCCGTGGATGGGGTTGGGTGAAAGTAGCATGTGGTTGCGAGGCTAAAGGGAAGGGGTGCACTCGAATGTAAGGGCACAGGAGGCGCGATGACAATACAATTGCAGAGCGACAGAGCATTCAGGTCCACGCACATTCGACTTGCAGAATCACATGTCCAGTAGTAACTAGTAGCAGTGGCAAAGGGCAGGCTCGGTCTCGATTCGGGATTTGTGATTCCCTTGCAGTGCGTCGGGCATTGCCTGAGAGGTCAGTCTCTCTTGTAGAGAAGGCGACGCTCCTTCGGCATGCTGCAGCTGCCTCAGCATTCCATGTTTCCGGGTCCAACACCAGATCAAAATCCTTTCTTTGGGCCAGCTTGGGGCAGCAGGGCTAGGCAAAAATCAGCGGGTTACATGGAGTCTTCAGTGAGCCAAAAGCAAGAAACGGCAAAGCCAGCATGAGTCAGTTGCTCAAGGCATGCCTCCTCTACACCCCCGATCGGGAGCACTTCGGCATCGTTCCCGTAGAGGCCATGTATGCCGCTCGGCGCATGTGCGGGGCCTTGCACGCATGTTTCTTAACGATGTAAGCTTTGTACATTCACGAATCTTGAGCCGAAGGCATTTGCTGTCCCAAAGCGCCAAGCCCCTTCCCCCAAAGCTTTCAACTCCACTTCACTAAGGCGCGGGTTCCAGTCGTCGCGGTAAACACTGGTGGCCCCCTGGAGTCCATCGTGGACGGCGTGGCCTGTCTGTCAAAGAAGTCCATGCTTTCGAGCTGTGGAGAACTCGGGCGGGCGTATTTTCTGTATTACTGATGCCCTTCCGCACCATATCACCATGTAACGCCACATTGAGTAGGTGTGTACATCGTTCCTGTGCATGTGTGTGTGTGTGTGCGTGATGGGACATCAGCTTGCCTCTTCTGCACTCGCCGTGCCTCTGCTTGCATATCCTGTCCTCGGTGGTTTGCTCTGCGAGAGGCTACACCTGCCTGTGGGTCACAACATCGGTTTCTTTTCTGACATGGGGTTATGGAGTACTGGTGCTCCGTCTGCATTTTGCCGTCTGCGTGTGCTGGATGACATCATCCTGTATTTGTTCCTTGCCTGATGCTTCCTTTTAGGTAGTTTACACTATGTCTCGTCAGATGGGAAGAACAGTTACGAGTTCTAGCTTGGGCATCTTGAACCAGTACTGTTCTCGGCCGGGAGCTACGCGAGGTCTTATGTTAGAGGCTGCTTCATGTTGCTGCTGTAAGTGCATTGGTCAGGGGCCATTCTGCCCCATTCTGATTGTGGGTGCCGAACCTCTGAAATATCCATCCATTTGAAATCCATAAAGCACAAAGCCTGAGCGGAGGAAACGGGCTTCCTGCGCGCTCAAGAGCCCGAGGTCGCGTTCGGTGGGCTTGTTCTTCGGATCGGGTTTCTGATTGAATTGCGATGTTGCAGTTGACCGCACGAACAGGTGTGACTGTCCGGCTCAGACACTGTTTATGCCTCGCCGTGTCAAGAGTCTCTCCATGCCCGACATGCCAGGCTTGGGCAGAGCCGGTGGAGAAGCTGTTGAAGGCCGTTGCAGTTTCTGTGAGTGAGTGCTTACTTGCCCTGCCGTTGCAACAGCTATGTGGAGGACCCAGCGCTCCGAAAGCGATTCGGAGAGGCCAGGGGCCATATTGGGAAGGTGAAAGCTTTATCTGGCCCCACTTTGCCTTCCCATCAAGTATTTTACATGCGAATTGATAAATCGTGCGCATGCTTCGCTGCAAGCGAGGCTGGACGCCAGCGCGCCAGCACCTGCTTTTCCCTAGAGGCTGGGTCGTCACTTTCTGCAATAGGCAGAGCCCAGAGACCCTCACATAGGTGCTCCGCCACGGCAAGGATTCGGGTCGAAAGGTATCCAGGTGCACGGCATGAACAGATATTGCCGGGTAGATTGATTATGGATTGATTGTGGCTCTTTTCGAAAGGATAGACTAAGAAGTGTTCTTTCCAAGCCTCACTGAAATATCGGTCGAGGGACACCACCGAGAACTTTTCAGCCTTGTCCTGTGCCTAGGATGCGGGGTTTTGCGCAATCAGGTAAAAGATCCAGGGCGGCGAGTCCGCTTAGAACCTGTTGCAGGGCCCAGTTGCTTGCAGTTAGGCGCCGTCTGGCAGGCGTTCGGGAAAGCCTTAGATGCAGCTGTCCGAAGGAACGAGGCCTGGGCTGTGGTTGTGTCTGGTTTCTGTGTGACGCCTGTCGCCGCATGTCGCATGTATCCCAGGTATCCCTGGATGGAAACTGCTCTGACACGTATTGTAGTCCGCGATCCCTCTCTTTATAGCTATGTTCCCTGCGGTGCGGCATAGTTAGCTGGGCGGGTGACAACACTAGCTATGCTGAGATAGACCAGAAGATCCTGGAATGTTGTGCTAGCACAACCCTGAGGGTCGAGAGGCTTGGCAAAAGCAGCATGGCAGCAAAACATAGTATAACTGCTCCCCATGTTGCCGCCACTACTGCTACCGCTGCGACTCTCGTGACTGCTGCCGTGTATTACTGCCACCTGCAGTTCTAGTGCTCCCATTGCAGATGTCACTGCTGCTTCTGCTGCTGCCGTTGCTGTGCTGGCAATGGTGGGGATTGCAGTGCTGCTGGTAGTGCTGTGTTGGTGGTACTAGTCGTGCCGGTAGTGCTGGTGTGCTGGAGGATGCCGGAGGTTTTGTCAGTGGTGGCAATGGCCGTGATGGCCGTGATGGTGGTGGTGGTGGTGGTGGTGGTGGGGTGGTGTTGTGGCGGCGGCGATGGTGGCGCGTGCTTGGCGTGGTGGTGGCGCTAGTGGCGGCGTTCGTGGCGGAGGTGGGATCGCAGCCGGCCTGGTTCGCTTGTGGTCATTGTTCAGCATCCACGACAACGACTAACAGCAAGCGGCCAAGACAGCAACAACGAACCCGACAACCAACCCGACAACGACCATGACACGGCCAAGCGAGGATTTTTGGCCACGTCTTTGCAAGGGTCTGATAGCTCGGTTGTTCTATGCTGGAGTGTTTGGCGAAAGAAATCTTATGTTCTTCTGTGTGGCGGCATGGCTACCAACACGGGATGTGACTTGTTAGCTTATTCTTGTTTGACCTGTTTTCCACTGTTACCACGCGAGCCCACAGAAAGATGGCCTGGCCCGCAGGACGGCGGTATCGCAGACAAAGATCGCTGACCGGCAGAAGTAGACTGGTGCTCTGCACCAGCATTGGGGGAAGCGAGACCCGGAGAGACAGCTTTACGCGGTTAACGTATATGAGCAGCCAAAGCAAGGCAGATGCTTGGACTTACAGTGCCTGAAGTATTGAGCCTCCTGCAAAGAGTCCCTCTACCCCGCCCTGTACATACCGCTGTGATTAGGAAGGCAGGCTTGGACATCGCTCGGGCATCTCTGAGCCTGTCCCTTCCCTTCGGCCACAGCGCCACCTGCTGCAAGCACAGAGGAGTTGTGCACAGGGAGACCGGAAAGCAAGATCTTGCGGGGACCTGAGGCTGCTTCACCAATTTACTTCAGGCACCCAGACCAACAGAAACCCATAGAAACGACCCTGGGCTTAAGCCCCGAACCCCGAGCTTCTATTTGCCTCAAGTCACGCACTCCGTTCAGGCCAACTCAAGTTCAACATGCCGAGTAAGCTCCCGAAAACTACGACGGAAGCAGTGCAGCATTGCGTTCTTCAGAACCGCTTGACCCGAGTTTTGCAGAATCTCACGGAAGATGAGATCTTATCTCGAGCAGGGCGACGAGGGCATCGATCCTCGCCACGTTTGTGTGGCGCACCGTCTCGTATCCGCGGCTCTCGCCTTCCTCGTGGCGGTCTTTGCGATCATCAAAAACACATCCCGCTGGATGAAGCTGATGTGGGGCTGGTCCAGAGGAACGCCGCGGGCGCCACGACGGCGCTCAGATTCCTCGCCGAACTTCCGGCAAGCGAGGGAGGAGTGGAGCACCTCCAAGCTTGCGGGTCCGTTATGGATCGGTGGTGATTCGGCGGCGATATAGAGGAACGGGGCTGCGTCTGTTGCAGAATGTACAACGCATCAACGCGTATGTATCGGCTTTTGCTGCGATCCGGACCTGCAGCCGCGCAGATTCTGGCGGCATCCGTGCAACGCTACCCTGACGGAGCGATCTTTGACAGAGAGTCCGAAGCCCCGTGCAAGACACGTTAACTCACAACCGACAAAACATTCAAACCCAAACGAATACTAGAGTCCTAAACCTCCGGAGCTATTGAACTCCTTCAGCACTGCAGCCCCTAACTCGGCCGAAACTGCCTCGCCTGGATTGTCCCAGTGTGAGCGTCGAAACAACAGAAAAGAGCCAACCAAAGCTCCTCCCTCAACAAACTTCAATCCCAAACTCCGAAATCACCCTGGAACCCTTGCAACCCCTGAGCTGCATCAGGAGCTGAAGCGAGGCAATGCGCGCCTGGGACTTTGGGGCTGAAGGGTCTTTGGGATCCCAAAGCCAGCTTTGTGCGAATTGGGAAAGTCGCGGGGTCTTTGGACTTGGGAAAAAGGGGGGGTGTGGAGCCTGGGGTTTAGCTGCCCGACCTCTTGCATCTTCCAGGAGGAAAGCACTTGGGGGTCCTGGTGGGCTTTTGGGTTTAGGGTTCGAGGATCTTGGGTTTGCTCTGAGGCTTCAGATTGTTGGGGTTTGGAGGAGCCTCGGAGTATCGAGATTTGGGGTTCCGGGGTTTCGGCTTCCAGGACGACTTTTTGGACGGTCTTCAGGCTTGAGTTGCAAGGGTTGGGAGTTTTAGAGCTTCCGGGCTTGGCTTGAGGTCTATCGTTTCACTTTCAGGCAGAATGAGCGATTGCTGAAAATGAAAGACCCCAGTATCGTCTCTATATCCTGAATATAACAATCATGTTAAGAAGGGTCCATGAAATTCACAGCCCCGATGAATCACTGTCAGCACCCTCTGCAAATCCTCCAGATCTATGACGTTCTTTCTTTCGTGTTTCAGCTTTTGCTCGGAGTCGTTGCTCCTTTGTACCAGATTGCAGACTGGGCAGCAAACCTCGCAAGCCCTGTAGCATACAGTTTATTTTGACATTTCTCATATTGATCTGGTGGACCGTCCTCTGGCGGTTTCAGGTGGCGTTATGGTACGTCGTCTTGCTTCGAGGGTGTGGGGATGAACAGGGGCGGCGGTACTGTGTGTGGTTGTTATGCTACCCTTCTTCCAAGACTGGGTGCATGTTTTGGGGTATGTCGGTGGAAGGAGGCGGAGGCAGATGGAGGTGGTATCAGTAGCAACAAAGATGTAGATAACCAACTGCTGGCAGCACGAAGTTTGACTGCCCATCACCGAGCATTGACGTTTCAAGCAAGGAGGGGCTCGTAAGGCACAGGTCAGTGTCGTGAAGACCTACAGTTACTACCTGAAACACTCATTGTCTTCAGCGCATGGCCCTAGGAGTCTAGTCAGAGGCCCTAGACATTTCAATCCATGCATGTATGGAACAGCAGCACAACAGGAGGCTGCCACATGTAGATTCGGAGCTTGTTCCTGGAAGCATATTTGGGGGTCAGCGATGCGGCGCATGTCCTGGAGCTTCTGACAGCCGTGGTGGTGCCGCATCTTGGACGGCCCCTCGGTTGCACGCCACGCTGGATAGCATGGATTTCCTGCGTTTGCTTGCTGCGTGTATTAAACTCGGCGTTGCACGTTTCAAGGATAGGAATGGCAGACGTGCTATGGCAGACAATGTTTTATCATACTGCCTTCGAGACTGGTTCGAGACTGCAGCCGGAGCCCCAAGCCGCAAGCCCCAGCAACTCATAAGAAGGCCAGCCTCGCGCCACGCCGAAGTTCGGCCAGCCGCATCCAGGATGCTGAAGCCTACGTCCAAGAGCTCCTTGACCGAGACGAGCGGGCTTCAGACAGTCTCAGAAGGGATGCTGTTTGGAGCCGCTGATGAGCCTTAGTGCTGAAGTGCCGAGGCCGCGCCAAGGCCAAGGTCAAGGCCAAAGCCGAGGCCAAGTCGGAGGTCGCGCGGCTTCTGTTTCAGCTAGCAATGCTGCGGCTCACGCTTGCGAAAGATGAAATCTCTGGGAGCATGAGTTGGATCCTCAAATGCCATACCTGAGGCAGAGACTTGTTGTTCCCAGCTCTGTCAGATACCTGTTTCTTCCATGGCAGAAAAGAACAGGCCTGGAAGCTGGGCGCCCGTGCCAAGTCTTCGGCAAAGCCTACACCAGGACTGTTATCCGCCCGTAGTTTTGAACCCGTCATGGCCTCGAGATCGTACTTTGATGTGCTTTGAACTTTGGGTTCAGTTTTGCTTCCTGCTTGTCTCCGGGAAAATGGATTAGTTTCGAATGTTGAATCTGTGGCAGCCTTTGTCGAACAGTGCTTTACGCAAGCAGTTGACATGTTGTGCCACACTCGATCGTGGTGACCAGCTTCAGAGGATTGTCAAGGCAAGTGCTCTTTTGGAAGGTACGCAAGTGCAAAAGAACAACATGGTCGTGCAACTTATGCAACAAGCTCGGAGTACAACACTGAAAGATTGATACTTGGAGAATGCACTTGCGTTGCTTAGCCATGTGGTGCCGATGCAGGCCCTGGGCCTGTTGCAGCCTCGGCGGATGGCACTGGGAAGCCGAAGGCTGCTTACCGGTTGCTGTGAACAAAACCGGTTGCTAGCTGTCGCAACGGAGCGCGAGGGCTCCGTCCGGTTTCCTCTAGAAGAGATGTTCGCTGAGGTGAAGCAAAGCAAGGAATCCCCAGCCCTACCAGAAGCCAATCCTGAGTCGAATGTCCTTTTGGGCCTTCGTGTCGCTGCAGGTGCTGATAGCGCCGAGCAAGGTTTCGGCAGGCCTCGAGACAGCTTTGCATCTTCCCGGTCGTATATTTCAAAATTTCACGGTGAGGTGCAGGTCTGGGACGTTGCAGTGTTTGGTTACCGCGTCTCGGATGCTCAGTCGTGTTCCTCAAAGCCCAACCTCCTGCATCACAGCTGGTCGCAAAGGGGCGGTGCCGCCACCAAAAGCTCCAGCAAAGGCAACGCCGCCCAAGGCACCGCCACCCACAAAGGCAGTCTCGCCAGCATGTTGTTTGTTTTTGTTTCGCTTCGATTGCCAATCTGCGAGAGATCGTGACGAAGTTTAAACAAGACGGCTCTGCGCTCTGCGCAATGATCAGCAGAAGGAGAAGGTCGTGTGGCACTGCCCTTTTGAGGCAGCGAGGCCAAGTGTCTCTCATGGATCCACTGCAGGATACTTGGCTGAAGTCAGACGGCATGCCCAGGATGAACTGGAAGTCGGAACTTGGAGTGCGGAGGGTTCGGAGCTCTTGGTCCAAAGCCCCAGGCGACTGAGTGTCGGGCGAAAGGATGCCTTCCTCTTCAGAGATCTCCTTTTTGGCCCGTGCCGGTGCTTTTTCGGCCACAGATCCAAGGACTCGAAGCCGCCCTGCAGTCGTCGATAGGACGAGGCCTTGGACTTGTACAGTCTGGCATAAAGGGTGGGTTGGAGAAGGCCGCAGCATGGACGCTTGAGGGCATTTTCACAAGCTGGAGGTTTCTCCAAAGCTCTTGAAGGTCTAAAGAAGGTCCATGCATCCTAGGTCCTACAATCCTCCAAGACTAGTCGATTCCTGAACCCTGAGAAGTTGTAGGCCCTGGCGCAGCCCCCCGAACTGGTCCGTTTTCGATGTGCCCCACCGCTACAGCGAGGCCTCGAAATAATGTCAAGTGGGGTAGGGCGGGTGCGCGTGGCTGACATCCAGTGTCGGATCCGGAGGCACAAAGCGGGTTGCGCCGGAGAGCAATGACTTTGCCGCAATGGCGGCGGCTGCAGCACGGCTGGTGCAGGGGTTCGGTTACAATGTTGATTATGGAAGCTGCGTTCTCGACACCCGTCTCAGACTTGTGCCACTGAAGGGTCGTGCCGGCCTTGAGGCTTTGGGAGGAATCGAGACACCAGCCTCAGGTCAAGCATCACAAGAGTGCGACGCCAAAGGTCAAAGCCCTTGCGGAGGTCGCATCTCGCCTATCAGGTCCTACGCGACCATAGGAGATGTGTCAGGGGGGTCCATATCCGACCTGTGAGTCTACGCAAGGAGGTGTGACAACAACACAATGACGCCACGACGAGCAAATCAGGGTCTGGCACGGCTGACCCGCACCATGACGGCCCAAGATCCCTAGGTCTGCCCAGACTACGATGAGCGAGACCCTTATCGCCTGGCACAAGGCATCCGTGCCTGGGCCACGCAGGGCGACAAGGCAACAGAGAGCGGGGGAGAGAGCGAAAGCTCCATCAAGATGCATGCCATGCTTGCCTACCTGCTTGCTGATGCTCCCGATCCCTGGCACTTGCAGGTGCTCTTCGTCATACCGGATGTGTGGCACAGGGGAACTAAGCAGCTGATGCTGATGCTCATTCTGACACTATGCTGATTACAATGATGCCGATACATTGCGACCACCTTCATGCTCATGTGCACAGCGAAGCTTCTATCTTCTTGGACACGCGTTGACAGGTGCCTCACCATATCTACTCAGGTAGCAGCATGATGCTATGCTGCTCATGCTGCTCGCCGGAGAGTGCGACATACGATACCTGCCAGCCGTGGTTTGCTACTGGCTTCAAAAGTTCTCGGTGCATCAACCACAGCGCACGGCATGTTGGGCATTGCAAACATGTACATGCCGGTGGAAAGGCCTGAACACGAGAAAACTGGATCTTGGACGTGGCCTTGACTCAAAACCGACATGCTTCATGGACGTGAAAATGTCGAGCTGCCCCAATGCCATAACACCTCCTGCCCCGTGTTGAGTTTAGGCCTTGCTTCTGCAACGTGCGAAGGCCGTCCCGGCGCCCTGGGCCACCTTCCCGGACGCGCGACTTGGCCTGCGGTTTGCATTCTAGCCGGCAGTTCTACAGAGTCCTGCAGAGTGGTGTTGCCCATGGTCTTATGATGCCTTGTAGTCAAATTGAGGGCGGGCGATTGCTGCAGGCGGATGCCTGCAGAGCTGAGCCGCGCCTTCTACGGATTCGGCTTCGCTGCGCCGGGGCTCCCGACACAAGAGAGCGTTCATTCGAAAGCCGAGATGACAAGAGACCACGCTACCAGTCGGAGGATTCAGACCTTTCCTGATCACCCCCGAAGCTCCGAAGTGCTCGAGAGGCCCACGCCGATCCAGGCTCAGGTGTGGCCTGTGGCCTGCCAGGGCTTAGATGTGATCGGCATCGTGACACGGCTCGAAGGAGGCTTTGTGAGGATTTTGCTGTTCGGGGTTCTGAATTTCCATTCAGTTTCGATGTTGGCTGCTTCGCAGGGCAACAGGCTTCGTCTGAGTCTGCGGCTGTGTACAACTGTTGCTGCCGCGGAGTCCAGGCGCGCACAGGGTCTGGCAAGACCCTCGCATATCTGTACCCGGCCTATCTGTGGAGACTTGGGCGCAAATCACTGTACTCATGCACCAAGACAGACTGCCCACTGCATGCCAGAAGAGATGATCATAACCGCTACTCGGAGAGATAGGTGTGTGGAAGCTTCCGTTGACTGCCCTTCGGCACTTCACTTTCGACTGTTGAGACAGTGTTGAGACTCGACTTCTAGAGCTTGAATCTTGGATAGGCCCTCATCCCACGACTGCTTGAGCGAAGGATGGGATCTCACCGCGGCTCCGGCGGGGTGCGATCACTAATCCTGGCACCAACGCGTGAGCTTGCCACGCAGATCCACGAGGAGGCCTAGCATTTGGGAGAACAAGGTATGGGGACGTGGAAAAATATGACCGGTTTTGCGGCCTCGGTCGGGCTTACTTTTTGGGACTTCTAGTATTCTAGTCTAAGCCGTTTAAGAGCGGCTTGGCTTTTTCGGTGGGATCCCAAGGCAGAACTTGCGTCTACAAGTCATTAGTCCTTGATCTGAAAGCACCAGCTTCTTAGGCACCCAGCTCGAAGTCGCCCATCACAGAAGCAGGGAGCAGCAACACTTAGTTTGCGGTGCGGGCTTCCAGGTGTACCCGGAAAATCGAAAGCACAGAGACACTCGAATGGTGTTGCAGGCCGGCAAGTTTGCAGCAGCAGCGAAGTTCACCAGTGCTTGTGTGGCTTGGCAGAAGGTTCCACAGGGTACTTACCTGAAGTTCTGAAGGCTTCTAGGTCGACAGTTCGCGTTGGTTGTCGCGTGCTGCTTTGTGCCGGTGCTTTGTATTCTCTCCGGGCTCTTCTTCTCGGAGCTCTAGAAAGTCACAGGTCTCAGGGCTCTGCTGTTCCGGCACCTTGTCCCGTTCGTCGTCTTTCTGCTCGAAGCATGACACGAGCCTTCCGCTGCTCTTGCGAGAGCACATGAAAGTTATCTTGGAACATCGAGAACCCTCCAATTCGAGGAATCAGTACCAGTGTGTTGAAACGCCCAAGTATTCACTCTTTTCGGCTCCTTCCATGTCTGAGGTCTATGGTGGTGTGCCCAAGAAGGACTTGTGGTGGCTCGTGTCAGCCGCATGTACCCGGCCGTTTGTGAGAATTCCGTGGGGACGCACGCCTTCCAGTGTGTTGGTTTGCTTGTTTGTTTGAATGTCTCTGTGCGTGCGCAGCGAAGGAGCAGCTGCCGCTGGTCCGCGCCGGTGCGCCGATTCTGGTGGCGACGCCCGGGCGTCTGAACGACTTCCTGGAGCATCTTGCACAAGAATAGATGTGCTTTGCGCCTTGAAGCTTCACTGCCTTCCTTTCTGCTCACCAGAAGCAAACACAGCACACCCAGATGCTGTGAGGATTCACTGGAGCTTGCTGCTCCGAGAGTTTGAGACTAAATCAATCCTTGAACGAACGTATCCAACAGCCGAAGTATCCCGGACCCTGCGAGGTCCCGGCAGATTTCTCTCCAAAGTGTGGGCTACCTGGTTTTCGACGAAGCGGACCGGATGCTAGATATGGGCACCATGCTTGCAATTGGAACATAAGAGAGTGACGTTGTTCTAGGGTTGCTCTGCAACATCGGCCCATGTAAGCGGGTAGCAGGCCTGCAGCAGTGAACTTGTTCAGGAGTTCCAGTGGGTGCGACATTTTTTGGTTTGTTTATGCTTGATTCGAATTACAACAAACCTGACATCGGGGTTTTTCAGTGCTGCTCAGATGGTAGTTCGATCATGTTCGATCCGGAAACAATGCGACCGTCCTCTCTAGAGTCTAGAGCTCGGACGTGATCCAGCTCTAGATCTGAAAGCTGCAGGCAAGGCAAGGCATGTAGGAGAGAGACATCTTTTGAGCAGGGAGGCAAAGCCCTGCCAACACTAGGTTTCGAGCCGCAAATTCGAGACATCGTGTTCCTTTGCTGCAGTAGTTTGGTCGTCTGGTCCTGACAGAACCAGTAGCCGCGGGCAGGGCAGTTGGAAGTATGGGGCAGGGCTTGTAGTGACCACAGCAGGGAACTATTGAATGTATTGCTTATTCTTATTCGTTTGGAGCGGGTCGACAGCAACCGGCTGGATGTTTGCTAGCAGAACATCTCCCCTGTGAAGCTTTTGCATGTGTTACACATAGGTAAGGAGGTTCGGCTTTGATGGCTGGGGTTTGGATATGGCTTAGGGTCAACTCGGCGCGTAGACTTGAGCAGCCTATCGTGCATCCGGGGACATGAATCAAGCTTCTCTTTGCATTGTGGCCAGAAAGCAGCTCCCTCGCCGACGTCAGACGCTGCTCGGCGCAGGAATTAAAGAAGTCGGACCTCGCAGCGATTCAGGTGTTCTTCTGGACCGAAGTTTGCATGTGGTCCGTTGACGGCTTATATACAGCCGGCAGATTCGAATACGCAGACTGGCTGACTTTGCCCAAGCCATATAGCTTTCCAAGAAAGTAAAGGCTTGGCGGCTAGTTGATATGGATGTCACATAGGTCTGCCAGCAGTGACAATACGAGTCCATAATTTCCATCGTTGGTAGCTCAGGCCGCATCTTTTCTGATGGTTGCCCGAAAAAGCGATCACAAACAAGATGCACCACCGAGAGTTTGCAGTGGACCACGCAATCAATTGAAGGCTGATGTTCAGCGCCACGTGGCCGGAGGAGGTGCAGGCTTTAGCCCACGACTTCCTGCAGGACCGACAAACCTAAGCAGATACGCTAGGACAAGAAGCTCAAGCCGAATTGACTGGGTTGCTGAGGCTTCTTTCGCGAGACCAAATATCTTTGTAGAATGCGAAACCTGCTTGCAGCTGTGCCTGGATTGTTTCATTCCAGCTAGGTAGTTGCAAGGCAGAGCGAGAGACCTTGAGAGTTGACAGCGAGGGGCTGTATTTGGAGGAGCCAGGGCACGGGGTGTTTATTGCTAGAAACATGAGAAGGCCCCGCAATGCTTTCAGGGGTACGCGTATTTGGCCGTGAAATCCTGAGGGTCCAATCGTATTCAGAAGTTTCAACATCAGCAGGTCGGAAGCCACGAGCAGTTGCGTGCTGACCAAAGCTGCAGGCCTAAAACCTCGCAATTCTACCATCCGCCCCGTAGTCGCTGGCCTTCCATCGAATGTTCTCGATCGTTGGTAATTACTGCCTGGGGGGCTTTCAACTTCGGTCATACGCCAGTGTTTTGAGTTTCGCCTTTCTGGGTTCTCGGACCTGCGGCACCCTGAACCTCGTACCATTCTCAACTCTGAGCCCTGCAGGAGCCCCTCCATATCCAAGTCGGCGACCCAACAGCGTTGCAGGTGACCTTGGCCGAAAAGGGAAGGTTGACGTACGGGGGCAGTGAGGGGGGCGGCACGGCCTTCGGAGCTGCGCGGCTCAGCCCGGATGCCGAGCCGGAACCTGCGCAAGGGCAAGCAAAGTGCAAGCAAAGGAGGCGCTGGGACCAGTTACGCCAGCGAGCAAAGCGATGGTTCATAAAGGGCAGATCTACTCAGATCAATTCACATATCTTCAGGTTCACAGATCTTCATCTTCGAAGCCGAACCATGCCAGAGCCCTCCACTGCGGAAGCCATCCGTCGGCAGGCCAACGAAGACATCAGCCAGCAGGTCGTAGTCTTGGCGCCAGACCAGAAGGACGAGATGCTACTCAAGGCTGGGAGACATGGGCGAAGAGGGCCTACACTTGGCAGGTGATGGGTAGGGTTTTGGCGTTTCAGTTTCCCTAAAAGCGGAAGAGGAGGGTCTTTGAACAATATGTCTTTGAGTTTCGGTCAACTTGGCCGAGGAGACTAGTCAGAACCTCTTGGGAGACATTTCCCACACTGCGAGCAAAATCTACTGCAGAACTACAGTGGTGAACCAAAGTGCATAGCAAAGAAGTGGGGCTCGGGTTTCGTGTCCTTCGACAGGGAACAGCCTGCTTCGGCTTTCTCCTCGCCAGATCCAAGGCCGTTCGCAGCACCCGGTCCCAAGAACGGGTCTTGGTCTTCGTAGCTATGAAGCAGCTCGGCTGCTCCCGGCAGAGTGTTGGCGTAGCCCAATCCGTTTAGACTCAAGGGGCTAACTGCTAACGGCAAGCAGCTTTGGAAGGCTTTCGTTTGCAATTGGTTTGATGCCGCTTCGGCATTGATGGGCCGTGCAATACAAATCCCGGGCCTTTGCACATCAAAGGTCGGTCATGGCTGTTTTGTAGCATGAAGCCGTGCGATGAATCCTAAAATTCATGTGTGCTCGCTGTCTAAGGTAGCTACCCTTAACTGCGCCAATCACTTGTGACATTTTCTGAAATTCAGGAAGAGCTGCGACCTGGTGGCACGTACCTTGCGAAAGAGCCTTGGTTTGAAGTACGAGGTTCCCAGTACGGTTGCTTAAAGGGATCTCTCAGCAGCATGACATATGCTCGGAGGAATGGGGTCGTTGCCAACGCAATGCACAGCGACAAAGATCAGCAGGACGGCCAAGCGCTTGGGTTTGCGAACTGGTGAAGATGCTGATGTCGCATGGGCCGGGGTCCGAACGACGCTGCCCCTGGAAGTCTCCGCATGAAGTTCAGCAGCTCTCTGCTGCTGCGGGTGCTCGCTGGAACATGAGCCTTTTTTTGCCGGCTGCACACCCCAAAAGCACTCAGCCCCGACCTCAAGCCTCGTCAAGAGGAGCGCGAGGAGGCTTTGCAGCAGCTTCGCAGCGGTGCAGCGCGGGTGCCCTGGCTTCTTCTCGTACGGCCCAACGAAGCTTCAGCGACGCAGCGACTTTCGAGTCAGATTCTGTGCTTTGTTCCATTGCCTTGAACTGGAGGTGCTGGTGGCCACCGATGTGGCGGCTAGGGGTCTGGATGTCAAGGGCATCGCGCTGGTCGTGCTGCTGGTCTTTGTTGGAGTTCAGGGTTCATTTCTTATTTGTAATTTCCGCTTCAGCGGTCTGTCGACGAATGCACGAAATACTTGGAGCCATGCTGTTTTGCACGATATGATCATTCATGATGGCCATGTTCCCCTCCGTCCGGGGGCTATGACGCAAAGCCTTCACGAAGAATTGTCAAGTGCTTCGTAACCGAATTGTGCCCTGCTCTTGCAAGTTTGGAGTGTCCCGGCTCTGCGCTAGCGTCACTTTGAGAGCCGAGGAACTACGACGCAGCAAACAGCACCGAGGCCGTAAGACATGTCAGTATGTTGTCTTGTGCAGTGTCCTAGTGTCCTGTTGGTGCGGGCGTTGATATGGCTGCTTGGCTCTTTTTTGCAGGCCTGGCACCGCTAAAGGCCTCACAGGCTTAGCTCGATGGACGTCAACGAAGGGCTCAGGTATTCGGGCCTGCCACGCTGTAATTAGAAAAAAATCCTGCAATCCCGCTTCGATAACTTGTCTCCAGGATCATGTTCACCGGATTGGCCGCACTGGTCGTGCTGGGCAGCGCCTAGGAAGCCAGTTCTGTCACCACGTTCACGGCTTTGTCCACTACAGGTTGTTAAGTCAGAGGTCCAAGTATGTTTGGATAGTGGGCCGTTGGGTGCCGAACACGTGCATGCACATGGGATGCTAATGATGTCGAGCCCCTCTGTACTGTCAGACCTTCAAACGCTTCCTGACGATTAGTTCAGCAATCAGCTGCAATATAGCCTTGATCTGAATTTAAACACGTCCCTTAGTTTGTCCTCAGAGTGTATTTCGAGGAAGGGACGCAGCATGACCTTTCTGACACGCTCCGGTGAGGATGCCTACAAGGCACAGAGCGAGCCAAGCAGTGTTTCCTAGTGGGTTTTGTGAGGAACAGCTGTTCCGAGAGGAAGTTTTTCGGGTTGCAGGGTACAGATTGCATGGTGTTATAACTCTTGCATGCTCTTGGACTTGGACACTCGAATGTCGCATTCCACAGGCGTCTTCCGAAGTCTTTCTCCGAGACTAACTTTGGTCGCTGAGCCCCCGGCAAGCGAGAAAATGTCCCTGAAGGCCGTGGGCATCGCCGAGGTCATGGAGAAGGTTGGGCATTGCAGTGCTTTACCGCATTGGGCCCTTCTTGCCGTGCAGCGTTCGAAGTATCTTCGCCCGCTGAAGGCCGGCTGCCCAGTGCCTGCCGAGATGCAGCAGCTGGTCGCCTGGCTTGCAGCCCCTGGCGAAGTCTTTCCCAGACGACAACACGATCAGCGCGATCACATCTCATGCTTTTTCCAGAAGGGTTTTCTGAGGTGGATCGGGTCCGCCAACGCCAGGCCCAAGCACGGCAGAGCGACCAACGCTGGGAGGACTTGCCAAAGGCTTCCGGACATGCATCGTTCCAGAGTTAAGGGGTGTTTACTCGTAGGGGCGAAAAGGAGTCGGCGAGACCCTGCAACAATGAGGGCGTGGTTCCACTTCTGCGGGGTTTCCAGGTGCTGATGGTGGCTGAGAAGCCCTCTGTGGCCAAACTGGTGGCCGAGCTCCTCGCCATCAGATTTCCGGGCTATCGGCGAATGCACAACCTGGGAAAGCTCACCGGTTGCCCACGGCGTTCAAGTTTGGGTTGGTGCCTCCCCGTCTTGAAACCATTTCAAGCCCATGTGTCGGTTTCAGTGCAGCAATAGTGCTTTCGTGCCCAAACCCAACATGCAGCCATGAGGTACATGCGGTGTCAATTGGACAGAAGCTCCATACTAAGTTCAGACGAACAAGATTTTGCATCCCAGACCTGGCTGCCACAAGCCCGGAGAAGCTGCAATTGAAACTGTCATGGATTCCGAAATGGCATCAAGTTTCCTCCTCGATCTCCACATTCGTCAGACACCGGACTGCTCCCAGTGGCCCAGGAGCCTCTCCAACGGCCGCCTTCGCTTCCGCAAAGGCCAGAGCCGAGCGGTCCAGGTCTTCGAGTCTCCCAGCTCTGTTCAAAACGCGACAACCTTGTGGGGTTCTCTCATTTTTGCTTCATGTCCGGCACAGTATCCACTTCGGTGAGCTCAATCGACCGGCGGCTCAGGTTTGTGACCTGGTTCCCGCCGGCGCAACAGAAGTGCCGCATCCTCCAGACCTCCACCATCGGGCATATCTTCGGGCTTGACTTCGAGGCCTTAGGAACATTGTTCGCCATCCTTTGGTTCCAATGTTCGGGAGCCGGCGCCTGACGATGATCTTCCCAAGCCCAAGTTGCAAGTTTCCCCAGAAGCAGGACGGTAGGCCCTCTGACCTGGCGGACCTCTTCTATTCCAACGTGAAGAAGACGGTGGAGGGGGCGGTTGCCAAGAATCGCATCGTTGAAGCTTGTCAAAACTTGGCAGGTCTTCCGCCGGTACAGTGGGAGCTGCCAGACCTAGAAGTATGAGGCTTGTCGGAGTTGATAGGACTCAGGAACACATCCAAGAGCTTGCCAGTGAAGCCGAATACCTGGCGCTCTGGCTGGACTGTGACCGGGAGGGCGAGAACATTTGCTACGAGGCTGGAGCGTCCCAGTGCTGCTGGGAGCCTTGGAGGCGCCGAATATACTCTGAGCTTCATGGTCAGGTGATGTCGCTCTGCAGCACCATCCCGGAGGAGATGCTTCCGTGTTTGCGCAGTGTCGGTTTGGTTTATTTCACTCTGAGTTGAGCTACTGTCAGGCGGCTTCTGATCACGGATCACAGCTTAGGCACTGAAATGGAGTTTTCACACAGGTTCGGCGCTTGTTGAGACATGCATGCGAGGAGAACGTCTACCGTGCACATTTCTCGGCGCTGACGCAGCCGGAGATCAAGCATGCTGGCAGCGAAGCAGCCTCCCTGTTTGTCTCTGTACAATTGCCACTTTCAAGCTTGGCCCTCTTGTGCTAGCAAGTTTCACTCCGGGAGTTGGCCAGAAGGACTGCTTTCAAGACGCTGGGACGCCCGGACAAGCAGCTGGCTATGGCCGTGGATGCACGCCAGGAGCCTGCTTTGGCCCAGTTGTGCGGGAACATTTGGTACTTTCCTTTTGATCCCCCTCCCCTGGTCCAGTGATCCTGTTTTCTGACAGCGTTTTGGGAAATTGCAAGCGAACAGGAGCTCGACTTGAAGATTGGGGTGACGTTCACGCGGCTTATGACCCGCACATTTCTGAGCCTTAGAGAGCACGCAGCATGTCCTTCAGGGCAAGATCGAGTAATGGCAACCTTGAGTGGCTCCACTCGCAAGTTTCCGACAACGACTTTGGACTCTAGGCTTCCGCTTGCCATCACCAAGGAACTACGCCAAGGAGAAGTTCCGAGTCTGGGATCAGACCTGCCTGAGCTACGGCCCCTGCCAGACTCCCACACTGTGGTTCTGCGTGGAGCGGCACAAGGACGCCACGAAACCTCGCCCCAAATTCATGAACACAGGCTCCTGAAAATTTCGAATTTCTACGGCTCCAGCTAGGGGTAACCTGCTCCCTTCGGTCCCTAGGTCAGTCCGCCAATTCCAAAAGCCAGTTTTCCATGAGCACGGAAGGAGATCGAGCAGTTCCAGCGCCAAGACATCTTCACTCCTACAGTAACTGCCACGGACCGAGCAATCTTCACAGCTTGAGGTTTCTAGCTTTCGACATGTCTCGGCTGGTGGTATCATCTGACTCAATGCTATCCAAGTTTGTGAACAGCAGTAGAACCGCAAGCCTCAGTACATGGCGGAGCCACCGAAGTCCGGGCTGTAGGAATTGTACACGAGAGCTATGGCTGCAGTTGGCAAGGTGACGCGTGCAGAGGTTTTCCAGGCATAACCTATCGATGTTCATGTCTCGACCGCAACAGCACGGTCGAGAACCATCGTGCCGGTGAGAAAGGTCAACATTGAAGACTACCCTGTCGAGCTCAGCTGGGAAGAGGCCTGAGACAGGTGGCTGTGAGAGGCTTCTCGTGCGGTTATAGCGAGATCAGAGCTTCGTAAAAGTTCAGCACAGCGGCTTTCAGGGTACGTGTTTTCCTCGTTCAGCATCACCAGTAACGCCAATCATGTTGTTGAAACGATTATGAACATTGTTGCCCAAGGTGGTTGCACGTTGAACCCGGGGGTGTTGCTTCGTGAGCGATGGGATTTCGTGGAAGACGCGACCATCTGATGAGATGTTGTGAAACCCTCTCATGCCACGTGTGTTTGCCAAAAGTTATTGAGCTCCGATCAGCCAGCATCGTGAACGTGGGACGTGCAAAATCCGGCATGCAGCAATTTTCCCGCACACCCCTGACAAGGGCTCTACGCTGGATGCCGGACGGTCCCAAAAGCTACAAAGGTCATTGCAGGCGAGGCCATGTGCACATGTAAGTCTGTCGGAGCTTCGAACAGGGGATGGTGGGGTTTCGGGATCAGTTCTGGGATGAAGGCCCTTGGAACTGCGAATGGTTTCGAGATTCTTCGCTTGTCTTCCGGGGCCATGGAAGACCAAGAAGGCTCCAGGCGTTGCCGTGCTAGCATTGCGACGTGCATCATGCCAAGGCCCCGAGCATCCAGTGGACATCTCTTGCCCCAGTTCCCCGAGATATAGTTGCAGCGATGCGGCGACAGTATGCCAAGTCCGGCGACATTGCCTTTTGTTCATGAACTGCCGTCGGATGTCATGGAGGACGTTACTCCAGCGTTACTCATTCCCAGATTCCCAGCCCGAGACACGATGCGATAGGGGGACAAGCACGACCACATAACATGGGAACGGGTTGCAAAGCATCTCCTTGGCCCAGGGCGCGGCAACAGCTACTCGGCAGGGGATATGCAACTTCTCTCCAATTCGGCAGCAGGGTGGGCTTCCTGGAACTCAAGTCCTCACGTCATCGAGAGTTCTTCAAAACTGACCGACGAGAGTTCGGCAACCCGGCCAGACGTAGCTGATGCCAGTCCCAGGCTTCGCTCATAGAAGTGACATCAACCAGGACATGGGTTGCCATTTTCATGGTTAACTGTTGACTGTCTGAGGGTTCTCAATTTCAAGGCCTAGGGCCTAGTGTGCATTCTCGCGTCCGGTTGCAGCCCCTGGCAGATTACCCTCCAGAACAGGAAGCGTGCGCGGCGGCCGGTGGGGCTGAACACGGTCCAGCTGCTGAAGGAGGGGGGAGCGGCTACCTGTAGCTGATACTGAAGGTCAAGGTTGCGAGCTAAGCTATGGTACTTCGACTTCAGATGTGCGGGTCAGGAAGGCCGGGGAGATCTTAGGCGAAAAACAGATCATCTAATATACCTCGGCCTTGCCTTTCAGCATGTTACGGTGCTGCGCTGTTCGGGAGGCACCGACCCCACCGGAATGAAACAAAAAGTGCCCATGGCATGTACAGGCCGCTTCCACTGGACTTGGCATGTCTCCGGCGCAGAGCCCGGGACAGCATTTGAACACTTGAGCTTTCAGGGCCTGCAGATGACCGAACGAGCGAAGCCGCCAAGTAGCCGAGGTGCATGAAGGTTGCCGAGGGCCTTTATTCCTCCGGCTACATCTCATATCCACGCACGGCCCCTCATCTCAACTGACAGCATGTTTCGGCTGTATTTTCTTTCTTTCTTTATTTTAGGGCTTCGTTTTTTTGGCACTCCTCTAGGAATACGGCTTTGATATGACCTGCTCCGTCGCGGCAGAACTGCAGGGAAGGGGGTTTCCTGGAAGTTTCTGTTGAGACAATCAATGAGGAAACCACAAAGTACTCAGACACCTTCGACCTCGTTGGGGCGCTTCGGGAGCAGGCCAATCACCCGTCGTGGGGACGCCTGGCGGAGTGACTTATTCATTGACTTTCGGGTGTCGCATGGTGTCGCAGTTTTGTAGTCCTCCGTCTTCCCCGGCTGATTTCTCCATGCAGGCAGCACCCCATGCGAGCTCCCCAGCCGGTGGCGACAGAGCGTTGCGCATAGTGCGCAGGGAAGTAACGGAATGGGACTGCCCAGGAAAGACGGTGAGCTACCTCCTTCGGCAGGGGTCAATCCGCTCCCCAGTCTCCGGAACGGACAAAGGCGGGGGGGCGCAACGACATAAGATCATATACATGTGTTCAGTATGTAGGCCCATCGTGTACACAAACATATGCAAACTGATAATTGATGTCGTAAATCATATTTACATAAGTAGATTGTAGATAAGCAGATAAATGAATGCAAACGATCATATAAACACGTCAACGACTAGTTGATGAAACAAGCAAATATGCAAACGAGTGAATAACGAAGCAAAGCCGTTTGGATCTATAGATACTTGCCGCTTATTTTCGTAGAGAGAGTAAGGCACTGTCAATGTAGGACTTGGTGTACTGCCGCACTGCAACCGTCCCTTAGATTCATGAAATGAACTGATGTCCTGATAGTTTCACTGGGGGTCCTTGCCATGCCCAGTCAGCCGGTTCTGATGGTACGCTTGTAGTCTGGGTTGTGGGGTGCTGTATGAAGGGGAAGCTTTGCAGGAGCCCAGCTGACTGTGACCTTGTGGCTGTGCCATTCCGAACCCTCAACTGACGTGCTAACCTGCAGTGCGGTGCTTCGGACGTGCCAAGCTGGAGCCAAAAATAGATACGCAGATAGATAGAAATAGAAGCAGATGGATAGACAAGTAAAAGAGGCAATAAATCAAGATAGCAATGGATAAGCAGATAGGTAACTGTGTTTATACACATGCACGCACACAGTGTGTGTAAGCACATGATAAAGGTCTGCATCTATGCACGTATGCATGAATGCATGTCTGTATGGATGGCTAAATCATGCATGCATGCATGCGTGCATGTATGTACGCATGCATGTAAGTATGTATGTATGTATGTATGTATGTACAAGCTTACAAGCTTCCATCTTGCTTGCTGGCCTTACCGTTGGCAGGCGACCATCCCCCGATTACACCGATGCGGGCAGCACCAAAGGACAAAGAAGCAAGCCTTAGGGATCAGTTTCAGGATTGCCTGCGGTGAGCCGTAGAGGTTAAAAAGCTAGTTCTTCCAAGCTGTCGCAAACATACAGTGTGTGAGGCATGGCATGGGTGAGCAGCAGTCATGAGACCTGCCGAAGGACGAGTTCAGCAAAGGCAAGGAGTGGCGATTGTACGACTACGTCACACGACATTTTATCGCATCACTGATGGACGATGCCGAGTACGATGAGACTCCTGTCCGCCCGATTCATGCTGTCCCAAGCCTGGAACCTCAAGCCGCGAATGATATTGACTTGCGCTCAAAACCTAAAGGCTTAAGAGCTTAGGCTGGCTTAACGCCCGAAATCCTTTCCTCTGCTCCTTCTGTGTGTTGATGTTTCTGGCAGTTGGAGCATCCAGGATATGCTACATTTTCGATGTGTCTGGCGAACGGTTCGTTTTCACTTACCACGAGGTTGGAGTTTCCATAGCCTGCACGTGATTTCATGCATGTCATCTCGTGAAGACAACTTTTGGATGCCCTTGGATTTCTATCCGGAGGTGGCAGAGCGTGGTTTTCTGTATGCGATGCCGTGGAAGGTGAACGACCTGTGGCCTGTCTCTATGGGATCGTCCAGGTAATTGAGTGGGTTGTAGCCATTGCAGATATTGCAGTCTCATGCAGCATCGTGTGTAGCTTCAGTCGACTACGTCGGAGCAATTTGCTAAGAAGCGACTTGCAGAGGTAGAGGATGCCTGAGGCAGAAGCTCAACAGTTCAGGCTTAGGTGTTTGCCGGCGGCAGATAACTCAGACTAGCAATGGTCCCGTGCAGATGTTGCCAGTCGCTGTTGCTTAACAAAGTCTTGACAAGGAAGCTCGAAGAGATTGACTGGCAAATGCCTGTTCCTCGGCTTGGTTCAGCACTCTTCAGTTGAATTTCTGAAAGTTCCAGATCTGCGAGCACTGAAGGAAGACCGAAAGTTTTGGGGTTGGTTAGGTCTTACAGCTTCGAGGCTGCAGGCGTTGAAAGTTGAACAGAGGCTTCGCAAGTTGTGCTTAGCACCCAGGACATGGCCCAAGGGGACCAGCTCTCTGTGGACGAGGTCGCAGTGACGCGTGACACGACGAAGCCTCCCGATTATCTGAGCCTTCGTCGAATCATGGGAGCCGAATGTGGAAAGGTTGGACGGGCTTAGATGTGGTGGCGGATGTCCCTAGGTAGATCACAGTCACGGTGTTTGGAGCAACGGAAACACCATGCTCAACAAATTGCAGGCTTGAGGCCTTCATCTGTTCTCTCTGCAAAACGAGTTCACGAAGCTCAACTTCTACAGGCCTAATCTAGCAGGACGTGCCCTAGAGTTTCCTTGGCCCCCATAGTCACTTTTCAAACCATGCTGACAAAGTTCCGAGAACTACCTACACCGATACAGCGTTCTGCATTGTGCACTGCTCCTGTAGTGTAGAACTGATTGTCAGCTGCTAGTGCCGACCAGTCAAAGTACTTCGAAGCCGAGACCTCGTCTGGCTAGTCCGAATTGCGAGAGCCTAAAGGCCTAAGCTAGTTAGGAGAGAGAGCGAACTCGTCGCCCTGATGGACAAGAATGGCATCGGCACCGACGCCTCTATTCCGCAGCACATGCAGACCCTCGGCATTGAAGGTCTTAGGAGGTCTGAGAGGTCATAAGCATGAAGAGGTTTTGAGCGTGTGCAGAACGGCATGATGTTGGCAGAATCAGAATCCTGTGGATGTGTTTCCTGTGCCTTGGGGTTTACAGATTTGCATACTTCCCGACTTCATTTCCTCTGTAGAACATTCGGGAGACATGCTGGCCGGTTCATGTTTGCATAGTTGAGCCTTCGGGACCGGCAGTCGCCTCGAGCGATTCAGGAATGTTGTGGACCGGCACTACGTCATGATTTGTGGCCCCGGGGCGGACGGCCAGCGAGGCAAACGTTCGCTGCGAGGGGTTTTGGGGACCTCGGATGGGATCGCTTGCGGCTGCTGTGCCCGTGCCCTGCTGTCATGCCATCATACAGCAGCGCGGCCTCGAGCTCAGAGGTCTTTTGACCTCTTTCGGAAGCCCCTGATGCTGCGAAGACCCCCGCAGAAGCCGCGAGGCGAAGTCATCTCCAAGGGCGGCAAAGGGAAAGGCCGGAAAGGTGCTTTGGTCTGCGTTTGAGAGCATGTGAGGCACCTAGAGCTGCAGCTGAGGGCTTTAGCTGGCGACTTGGTTTTCTCAGGCTTCCGGGCATCAAGGCCCCTGTATAGCCAATGCAGCTACAGCTCTTTCGACTTTCAGTCTATCGCAATCTTCAGTGCGGCTGGTGCCTTCAAGGCAAGATTCTGTTCCTCCTCAGCCTCATTCTCTTTGATCGCAACCGGTTGACAAGCCCAACACACCGACCTTGGAAGCTCCGGATCAAGCGCCCGCTCTGAATCCTGCACATGCCCAGTCTCGCTTGAGGCAAAGGGAAAGGTGCTAAAGGTGACGATGGACGGCCCGCCTCGAGGCAGGCTTCGGCTTGAAAGCTGATGCCTCATCGCTACGCCAGAGTTTTCTTGAAACTATTGGTAGTTGTAAGCTTTGATTCAGGGTGTTGGGCTGATTAGTTTAGGAGTTCGTGGCGTCGGAATCAGAGGCTCTGCGGCTGGGTTGTTCTCATTCAGGGTTTCTTTAAGAGTCCAACATGCCAGAAGGTAGGCGAATCCGGCCGAAATCCCCAGCCCGAGCGACCCTGAATTGCAATAGGCACATGGTGCCCACGCCAATGGGCCTGAGCTTGCTGGCCGCTTTCGAAGAACTGGATGCGCAGTGCCATGCTCGCAAAAGCGGATTGAGGATTTGCTGCAGAGCGAAGCAATGAACGTGGGGAAGGGGTCGGCATGGAAGAAGAAAATAAGGGATCGGGGCTTTTCGGATTTCATGCCTTTCTGTGCAAAATTTCGGGAGGGTTTCAGGTTTGAACTGCCATGCTGTTATGCATGCCAGCAATGCGTTCGTTGACCAAGGCTTTGCCGCCCTCCTATCAGGGCCTTCATGGAAAAGCAGGCTGCGCACAGGAAAGGGTTGACGAAGAAGAGCAGAAGTAGCTGCGTAGGTTTTTAATATTCGACGGACTAGTTGATGTGTGATGCCCCACCAGGCTCTACCAGAATCTTTCATAATCATTCTGTGCCTCTTGCATGCAGTGGTCTGTGACGTTTTTTTCGATCAGGTGGCTCAGATCGCGGAAGGCTTGCTGGACAAGCCGGACGTCACAGCACAGAACTTGGACCTGCCACCCGCCTGAGACAAGCCCATGACATGCAAAACCTTGCGATGTTGAATGTAGTAACCAGCCTCCCGTACCGAGACGCGCCCACGTCTGCAGGTTCCATTCCAAGTTCTTGAGGTTTCGAGACTCGTGGCAGCAAAGACGATAGCATCGTGGTGTGCAGTGCGTCGACCATGTGGGAGGGCTCGTCGGCCACTCACAGTTGGGTTTTCGATCACTATGCATCCTTTCGATAGCACCTGACATCTCCTTGCCAGCCCAGGACAACATAAGTTCCCTGGACCGCTTTTTCATGCGGAAAGACCAGATGGCTCAGTCTTGGTCAGGCAGTCTGTGGGACACTCACGGTTGCGGTCTCCGCTTCAAGTTTTAGAGATGCTTCTCAGTGAACCTGTCAAGTCTGGACAGGATAGACGCATCTCCTCGTCTCAGTAGCGTTCCCACCCTCACTCCCAACCCCGCTAGTTTTGTATGTTTTCTCACTTACGACATATAGGGGCTAGGATGACGATGGCTACAGGTAGCAATCGGTACCCCCACACTGCCTTGCTGACAGGAGCTGGCCATAAACGACAAGGTTTCTTGGCCAAACCAGCGATACTTTCAACGAAAGAAGGCCGCCGGATTCGACTCGTAGCTTGGACGAGAAGAAAGAAGCATGGCAGTCATTATTTCAACGAAACGTGTTTTCCGGAATGTCTTGTTGCAGCACCTTGCGCCATATCACGTAAGCAAACGCGTAGACCTTACCATAGGCTTGGGTATTCTGCGATGAGTGTGCTTCAGGAGAAAGCTGGGGTGGCGACAGCAATAAATGGCACAAGTGGGACGGAAAAGGTGGGCGGTTGTAGGCTGCCGGTCAAAGATGCTTCGGACTTTGTATCGTTTTGCAGGAAGCATTGCATGGAGCATTTGTGCAGCAATGGGCTCCTGCACAAGCCTCAAAGTCTCGTGTTTTTTGTTCCTGCTGTGGCTTCGACAGGAAAGGGCCAGAACAAGGGTGGCAAGGGCAAGGGCGGCAAGAAGTAGCTATTTCCACATCGGCAGACGGCTGACACTGCTGATGCCATGGAGGAGACATATCCTGCATTTTGAGCGCCGAGTCAGGGCCCTTGAGGTGCGGGGCTTTTTCGGTTTGCCTCGACAAGTCAGGACAGCGAGCAGCTGCACCACATCGCCGATCTGACGTCCAAATCGTGAGAACGTGAGGTGGTGCATGCAGGTCCTACAGACGGCCTTTCTTCGAAGGGCATGGGCTTCTACAAAGCTTCAGGGCCTTGCAGTGGCGAAGGCCGGAGCGCAACCACACGCACACGCAGTCAAGATCATCCGGGGCTGACGCGGGCTGGGCTGACAAAAGATTCAGCGGCTTGAGCACTCCCCGCTCCGCGGGCTTCACAATGCCTGCTGCGATTCTCCAAGTCCAGAAAAGGAGCCCTTTGCTGCCGTCCGATTGTGCCTCGTGTATGCCTCATGATGTAATCATTGCGACCGTTTTCGCCACCTCGCTTGAGGCAGCATGTCCGTTGCTGCGCGACGACTTCTTCTTCTCAAAGACCAAGACGTGGGCGGCATAAACCCTCCCCGTTTTGCCTTGAGACCATGTCACTCGTTTTGTACTATGGTTCCCGACAAGCGTGACAGAACACGATGTGGTTTCACACGGCGTGCACTGTTGTCATGCATCCGGAAGGGGCTTGAAAAACGATGGCCGGGAAACATGTACAGCTGCAGAACTTCCCCAATTCATCAATTGGTGTGTTTAGAGGGGAATTGTACAGCACCCTGACCGGCAATGCGAAAATTGAATGGAGAAGACATCGGCCGGAACTTGCCGGCGAGAGTATGCCGTTCGTTGAAGTGGCTGTCGGATGAAGAGAATTTCTTGTGGCCGAGGCAGAACCAAAGACCAGCACCGTCAGGCGACAGAAATTGGCGGACAAAGTACAATACTGAATGACTGGTCCACGTCCAGAGATTCGTAGGAAGGCCGCGGCGCTGAGAGACTTCGGCTCTTATGCTTCGCATCAGACCGCCGTGTGTCATAGTGTGGTCATTACATTGGGCAGGAAGCAGACCGTGCAGCAACACTTGGAGCCATGTGCTGCGGCGTCCGGCCCGAAAGGGCCCATGCTGCCAAGCGTGGCTGCCATTCCAAACCCGACTGGAGGCCTTCTGCAGCACGGCCAGACTTCATTGCTTTCAGACCACAGGGTGGTAGAGTCGACAGCTTGGCCTGGTAGTCAACAATTTGGTTTGCCATGATAGGACCGGGCAAAGCGGAGGTTGAAGTACGTTGCATCTTGCTGACCCGCTGGAAAGCATGCTTGCCACAAGGAATGCCTCCTTCAGCTGTCCCCCACAGCCACTCCACAGACTCGCCGGCGTGCCTTGGGTTTAACAAAACCTGTAGCTGATTAGGCACGAGGATGCATATGTTATGCTGCATGCATCAGTTCCCATGTTTTTAAGCCCACGTGAGCTGAGAGCACCAGCCGCTCAGCTTTGTGCTTTCCAATTGCTGGCTGGGCCTCGTGGGAAGAGTCCTCCATGTTGGTGCCGACTGTGAACTCCCAGGAGTGGCGACTCTTCGTGAATTCTGGCGCTGTGCGAGATGTCAGCATAAGAGACTCAGCTTCCGTTTCCACAGGATTGTCGGATCTTGGCAAGGGCTTTCTGCAGCAGGGCTTGGTCCTTGGTGGCTTTTCCTTGCCTTTAGGATCTTCTTTGGCAGTTGCAGTGGGGCCTTTGTGTACGCTCGGGCATACTTTCGCAGAACAACCACCAGGAGAATCCAGAGCAGCAGCACTTCTTGTCTCAGATTTGCCACAGTTTCAAAAAGCAGCGTGAGTTCCCTGCCTCCGCCGCTGAACCTCCAGCAAGGAACGAGGCTAAGCTATCCGAATGAAGCCGTTCGTTGTTCGAAACCCGGGTTGCTTATTTGCTGCACTGTCAAGTTGGGATGGTAGTTCAGCCTATGCCAAGGTGCCCCGTCGCCTTATGCCGCAGTGCTCGCTGCGGTTTCGCCCGGGGGAGAAAGGCTGCCTTCGGCTCTGTCCGGGGCTTGGCCTGGCGGGGTGGAGCGGGGTGGAGGTTCTGCTCCTGTTTTACAGTAGGCGAGGGCCTACGTCGAACAGGAAGCCCACTTTGCAGACGGTCTTCCGCATGTCATTTTGGGCTCTATGGGCTATATTGCTTGTTGCCCCGAGGCTGCACAGAGAGTTCGCCACCATCGGCCTCAACGGTGCGATGGTAAAGCGCCTCCGACATGAATGGGCCTTCGGA